TCTGACGAAACTTGTTTGATCCAAACAGCATCTTGCCTCGTCGTGCCTTCGTCCGCTGACATGCTGTCAATACTTCCTCCAATTCTTCCACATCCGCCAGACGCAACATAGTCAACTTGTCTGCTAGCTCTGGGTCGTCCACCGTCAAAATGTAGTGATCGACATGATCCTTCTGAACCTTGGGCGACCCATCCTTAATCTTCATCTTCGCCCTGAGTCCAAGCACATTCAGGCGGTACAGATAATCCAGCGGGGTCTCTTCCGACCTTTTCTTCGCATGGTAGTACTGGCGGGCGACCGGTACCCCCGTGCCACAGAACCGAATCATGAACTCTTGGATTAAGTCCTTCCAGTTTTCTCGTACCAAGCGAACCAGTTGACGGTACCAATTCTGCGCCGGTCCAGTCAGCAATCCTCCAAAAACGAGACATCTTTCATCATCTGGTGCTTGGTCTCTTATAAATGCTGTCTTGACCGTTGATACCCAGCTGCGCGCTCTGTCTTCGTCTTGGTCTCTTCCATGAAATTCTTTAAGATCCGAGGTCGCCGAGAGTTTGATGCGAGGGACCATATTTTGCATCTGTCCCAGCGCTGCGTTCGCCATCATCGACTGAGGTCCCCTCAAATCCATGTTGTCAGGGTCGAACTCACAGGAACCGACGGATTCCATAACGACGTCGGTCATCGTGTGGCCCCTTGGCATTTGTATGCCTGGATGTTGGTCATGATGAGCGGTCATCCTTTGCGCCTCTGGTCTTCCTCCTGCTACACTCCCGTTAGGGTGTGCCCGCGGTACTTGGCGTTCATTCAAAATCTTGCCATCGCCGCGTCGAAGAGGGTCTGCAGATCACCTACCGGGTAGGTAGGACCTTCCCCCCCAGCATCTTCGTCACGGGGCAGAGCAAATTCCAACTAGTTCTTGTGCTGATTTTCCATTGGCTGAAAACCGGAATGATTTTCATTCTTGCCACGCATCGCCGTTTCGAGACCACGTGGTTCTTGCTTCGCGCTGCGCGCTCGGGCCTGGAGCAGCGACGCTCCAGTAGGGCCTAGGGGCATCCTAGTGACCGACCCAGTTGAGGACGATCCTGAAGACCACGGAGCTGCTTCCCTCTGGTCCCCTTGACATCAGGAGTTGGGATGGACCTTGACTCGCCCCTGGGCGGCCGGCGGCTCCGTACATGTGGGGACACACCGTGATGTCTTGAAGAATCATCTGGCTGTCCTTGGACCGCATGTGTGTAGGTGTAACCAGAGGTGGGTGTTCCGTTGCTGGTGTGGTACCCACCAGGATCGACAGACGCTTGTACATATGCTCTAACGTTGTTGTGATTCTGTCGAACCCCAGGGATAGCAGATCGTCCGGTTCGAACCGACCTGCGACCATGTTCGCTTCACGAAGCATGGTGACCAGCGCTGTGATCGCGTCCGTGACGGAGTGCAGCCGTGGCAGGGTCGACACCGGCCCAGTGAGTTGACCCAGCTGCCGGATCTCCAGGATCTTCGCGACGGGGTCGCTCTCCAGGAACGCTTTCAGCTTGCGTTGGTGGTAGGCCCTCGTGAATCAGCGTCTGTCCATGACGCCAGTCCTGCCTTCTCGGGGCCTATCGACTTGGTGTTTCCGGGTGCCTTCATCCGGAACTTGGTCGGCTTGGATTGCGCGATCTTGTTTTGTTGTTTTTTTGGGGACCTTAGCCTCTCGGTTTTCACCGTCGGGTGATGGTCCTTTGGATCATGATAGGCGTCATGACCCAAGGTGTCCTCAACGAGGACATAGGGAGGGTATTTAGGTTTTTCTTCAATGAATTCAACCTCGACCATGTTGACCGGGCCCCTCCCAAGGCCCGGTCGGTCCTTCGATCCTTTGTTTGTTTCTTCTTGAGTCACTGGCGATCGGTGTTCCAGTGACTCTTCGGTCTTGTGCTCCTTCTTGACATGAACATCTTTATTTTCTTGGGACTCGGGTGAAATCCCGCGTCTTCCGAAGATCCGGGCACGCGCACCATTGTGGTGGAGTGGTTTCTCAAAATTGTATGATGAGACCCCAAACCACTCACTGTGCCGGACTGCCGACTGTCGGAGGGGGTACCCCGATGCCGCGTATGGACGTTCTCTCACCTTGTGTACCCGTCGGCTGGCGGGTTGCACTCTTCGGAGGACTTGGTGAAGATGTAGACGTCTGCCTTGAGGGAGGTAGACCTGGGGGGCCTCGAGTGGATATGCTTCACTCGGTGGGCCGGTAGGTGGCCACTCGATCGACTTGTCGAGAGTGGGCTTAGAGCCAAATTCTTCAGGGGCGCTTGTCGTCCCTGGCCTTTTCCTTCTGTTTCAGGGGTATTAACCACCTGACCTTTACGTTGCTCCCGGACCTTGAGGTGAGGGAGACCGCTTCCGATAGCGGGTCTTGGGGGGGGGGGGTGTTGCTACTCGAACGAGCTCACAGGCCAAATATATCCTGGAGCTCTATTCGCACTTGAACTTCGCTAAACAACTGTCATCGACGGGGGGCCAAAATATATCCCTTCCCGGAACAGTGAGTAACTTAGAGCAAGTTCTTCTTGGGTGACGGAGTCGTGCCACGTAGATCGCAAATTGAGTAGTATTTAATATAGTCCTATCCTTTTAACTCCTTTACTCTATCCTTGCCTGAAGCTCTGATTCCTTGCGTCGACTGGTCTGATCCTTGTATTAACTGGTCCGGAGTCGCTGAACCCCGAGGGGCCGAGGTCGACCAATGAGGGACCGGGTCGACCAATGAGGGACCCAGGTCAACCGATGAGGGACCCGGGTCTACCAACGAGGGGCCAGGTCGATCAATGAGCGGCCATGATTGACTCTCTTTTGGTACCGGTTAACCGGTACCCTGATACTGATTTTTCTTCGGCGAATCCTGCGGATTGTCCTCCACCAACGGTCGCTCCCCTTTGAGGCCCCTGTCTCTCTGGTCCCCTGTCACTGACCCACGGCCTATACTCTGAATCCCACTGTAGTCCGGGACCTCCATATCACAAAATTAGCACTTCACCACAATATAGTCCTATCCTTTTAACTCCTTTACTCTATCCTTGCCTGAAGCTCTGATTCCTTGCGTCGACTGGTCTGATCCTTGTATTAACTGGTCAGGAGTGGCTGAACCCCGAGGGGCCGAGGTCGACCAATGAGGGACCGGGTCGACCAATGAGGGACCCAGGTCAACCAACGAGGGATCGGGTCGACCGATGAGGGACCGGGTCGACCAACGAGGGACTGGGTCGACCAACGAGGGACTGGGTCGACCGACGAGGGACCAGGTCTACCAATGAGGGACTGGGTCGACCGACGAGGGACTGGGTCGACCGACGAGGGACCAGGTCTACCAATGAGGGACCCAGGTCTACCAATGAGGGACCGGGTCGACCAATGAGGGACCCAGGTCAACCGATGAGGGACCCGGGTCTACCGATGAGGGACCGGGTCGACCGATGAGGGACCGGGTCGACCGATGAGGAACCGGGTCGACCGATGAGGAACCTGTTCGACCCATGATGGACCGGGTCGACCAATGAGGGGCATGGTCGAACCCCTTCGGTACCGGTTAAACAGTACCCTAGTAATGACCTCTCCTTTGTTTGTCTTTCAAATTCTCAGCCAACGGTCGCTTCACTCCGAGGTTCCCAATATCTCCGGTTCCTTCTCTCGATTGCGTGGCCCCTTCTCCCTAGTCCACGGCCCTTTGTCCCTTCAATCCAACTAGAACCTGGGTTCTTCACAATTTAGGAAACCACTTCACCACAAAGATCTGTCTCCCATTGTAGAGGCAAGCGCTTCTTAGCTTGCTTAAGGATCCTTTAGGCACTCCATCAGGCGCAAAAGATAAATATTTTGTGCCCATGCCAATATAATATCGTCGAGTAAACGCGACGACACAGCTGTGGTGGAGTGGATTCTTAAACGACGTGAGAGAACCACAAACACACACAGCGCCGGACTGCCGACTTACGGAGGGGTCATCGCTCTCGACTAAGTCGATTTAGCCCAAGAAACCCGGTCCCAAGTGAAGTATATCCACTAAGTCCAAGTCCTATACAAATACCAAGTCTTTAAGTCTTCCGCGTCAACCGAGGAGCAAGACCAGCCAAGCCGACGGGTACAAAAGGTGAGACCCAAGGTTGACGCGACACGGTTGGGGTTCACTGGCCACCTGGGGTCCACCTGTTGTCTGGGGTCCACTGGTCACCTGGGTCCAACGGTCACCTGGGTCCACCTGTTGTCTGGGGTCCACCGGTCACCTGGGTCTACCTGTTGTCTGGGGTCCACTGGTCACCTGGGTCCACCGGTCACCTGGGTCATTCTGTCACCTGGGTCCACCGGTCACCTGGGTCATCCTGTCACCTGGGGTCCACCGGTCACCTGGGTCCACCGGTCACCTGGGTCCACCGGTCACCTGGGTCCACCTGTTGTCTGGGACCCACCTGTTGTCTGGGACCCACCTGTTACCTGGGGTCAACCTAAGCTGCCCTAGCAGCACTGGTCCTTTGGTCTGTAGTGTAGGACATCCTAGTACCTTCTCCGAACTCGGGACCTTGGACCAGTTTGGGGCCCTGGTCACTCACTGTCACTCATTCAAGAGAGTGACCGAGATCTTTCACGCCAGTTATTATAATAACTACGAAGGGCCCCCCATTTCTCTGGCACTTCTCCACACACCCTGTACCCTGGTCCCTGATACCCTGGGAGCAGATCGGCGATGCGTATGCAGATCCAAGAAGGTTAAAAGGAACTAATCGATTCGATCCATCGTCGCCGTACCCCGACCTAGGATATCCTGCGGACCGCTTCTCTTTCAAGTCGCGCGCTGTGCTGCCTCCTATTTTTCTCTGGCTTCCTGCAGGGTCTCGTGTCTTTCCGTTGTCGCTTTTGGCTGCCGATTGGGAAGTAAAATTGGACTAGAGCAGTGATAGAGAATATGATGTTTCAGCATCTCTCGAGACAACCATTGAATTGGTTTTGACTTCTCAGAGATGCCTGCAGGAACTTCCGTCAAAAATTTGAGCCACTTCGCACAGAATATTCGCAAAGACACCTTTTCAGCGTATAACTACGGCTGCAGTTGTCTCCGCGTGCTCGGAATCAGCATGTGTCCTATGCGCTTTTGTGGGAACAAGGCTAAGTACGGTAGCTTTGACCCACCAGCTTTTCCTGTCAGCAAAATGAAAAACCCTCGCATTGGATTCTTCCGCGGCGAAAGGGACATCTTAACCACTCCAGCTGACATGGATCGGCTACGAGCTGCTTTGCCATCTGCCACAGTTATCCACGACGAGAAGATAAGCAACTTCAGCTGCCTCGACTTCATCTGGGCTACCAATGCCAACGAAAAGGTCTACCAATCCCTACTTGAGCAGCTCAATCGGTACGACGGCCACGGATACTGATACGAATGGAAGGAAGAACAACATTCAATATTAGCACATCATTAGAAAGATAAGGAGCAAACCATATTTCTATCGGTAACGAACCCTTGACCGCGTCGCATCGTTCAAGATCTATACAAATAGATCGTCATGCCCCGCTGCTCTAGCTAGCTCTTTAACTTTCGAGACTTCGTTGTTGCAATTGAACTGCGTTAGCACCGAAACCAAATCTTCGTATAGTTCTATCTCGAAGCGCGGGGTCTCAGGCTGCAGCCCTTGGTGTAACAACGAGAAGGTGCGCACAAACTCTGCGATCTCGTCATACGAGTGACACCGCATCATCAGTTCGTGCAACTGCTCAGAAGAAAGCTGGAAGCCCTCGCATTCCATGTTATAGGCAACATGTAAGGTGCGCTCAATCAAACCAATCTTGGTTCCCAGGTCAACCAAAGAGACGTACAACCCTTCCGGGATCGCCAAGTGGTCTTCGCTCATCTCACGAAATAACGAGAAACACATGTCGATACCGCACGCTCCGTATAGTGCGTTGATGACGTAGTCGAAGAATATCCTGTCTGTAGCAATACCTTGGCTAGCCATGTCCCTCAAGACACCTACCACCGCCTTCAAGTCACCATGCGATGCATGGATAAATGCGATCGTCGTAAAAACCTTAACATCTGGAACTACGTCATGCTTCTTCATCGCATCAGTAAGTGCAATGGCATCGCCTACTATTCGCCGGCGCATGCAGATAGATAGCAGCGATGTGAAAACCTGAAGATTAGGTGCCAGCTTCCGCTCGAGAAAAACGTCCATGAGGTTGAAAATCTCCTCGATAGCGGCGTCGCGGTGATTCTCCACCATCTCGAGCATCGTGATATGGTCGGGCACGATGAATGGATTGTTTAACATTTGCGAGAAAAGTTCCTTGGCTTGGTCTGACCTATTCGTCGCTGCGAAACAGCCAAGCGCGTCGTTGTAATTTTCTACTTCCAGCATCCATGCACCCGCCAGCTCCTGCTCCATCAAGAATACCTCGTTCAAAACTTCTTCAAGAAAGGTCGGATCCAAGTACTTGTGACAGTAACGAATCCCCAACCCAAATCCAGCACTACGGGCTACCCCTCGCGCTACCATCCCGCGAAACACCTTTTTGAACGTGGAGAAATTCTTCAGGGCCATACACGCTTTCATTGCATTAACGCACAAGTTTTCATCAGCTGGAAGCACCTCATCCACAATACGAAATTTCTCGTTGGCATCGTCGCACCGATCTTTCGCCTCGAATTTAACATCATTACCAAGGTCAAGCAGCCTCTCGCGAATGCTCTCCATCGTTTGGTAGCAATGCAATGCTAGCGAAAATTCCTCGAGTGTCACACAGCATTGAATTGCAGCTCCAAAGCCTCTTTCAAGCACTAAACTTTGAACTCTCTCCAAATCTCCACCACTGACACGAACTTTTCCATCCACGTAGTCCAAAAACATGCGTACAACTTTTCTAGGATTATGTTTGGTCTTAATACTTGCTTCAAAGAGTTTTAGAAAGCCTTGTTGCTGGAAATCTCTTGCCGCATCAAACTCTGCACTTGCAAAATACCCTGTAGCTAACTCTAGCACTTGTTTATATTGCTTCTTCTGCGTCATCTTGGCCATCAAATGGCCCACAATAGACGGTGGCATTAGCGGTTCCTGTGAACTCAAACCACAATCCGTCTTGCGAATCTCCGACCACAATGTCTGTTGATACAGCAGCAATTCCTGTGCAACCACTAACATCTTGATATTGGCGCAACCATTGACCACTTCAATCAGCACTTTGGCAACAAAGTACGGTCCATATCGCTTTTTCAATTGTTCCAAAAGCTCTTGAACCTCTTTTGTACGAAAAAAACGGGACGAACGTTGTCGTAACACCGTAAATAACAAATCTGTCCATACGGGTTCACTAGCATTTTCACGGTCAAAACTGGCCACGAGACCCAAGAGTTCAGCCGCTCCTCGCTCGTCCTTGATTTCCAGTCGACGCTGGAGCGCATTATTCCATGTCCAGGGATCGGTATTGGCCAGCAATGCAGTCTCGTCTTTGCAACGTAATGCTCGACAAGCAAAGACGAAATGGTCGGATGTCGTCTGATTGGACAATAAAACGTTTATTCGCTTGTCTTTTACGCGTACTTTAGGCGTTTGATTGGCTGGACGGGGCAAACGATGACGTAAACCGTTCGCACGTGTGGAATATAAGTGTCGATGAGGTTGTTGGTTATCTATAGACACGGAGATGGAGCGAAAGAGTCCCACGTGGGGCTGCAAAGCCACTGCACGCACGCACAGACGACGCATCATTTTTCGTCGAGTGATCGATGGACGTTTGATTGGGACTCATGTGGTCCACACTATTTAGCACCCAGATGTTTTGTGTTGTGCACATGAACATTGAACCTGTTCCATTCCCCCTTTTTAGTCATACCGGTACAATACTATGACACCTCGGTTCGCCTCCCGTACAAGGTGACTGCTTGTGCATGTCGACGTCTCTTTTATTTCTCTAAGTACGTGGTATTGTGTCTCTGATCCATTTAGTAGCAAATATCGTACCGTGGAGTGCAAGTGTCTGCCTCGCGAGCAGACTTTTGACCAATTACAAATATCCATTGAGCACAATGTACTGGCTGCGTCCTCGTCTACTGTTGCCTTTATTCACCAATCAAATAATAGCGGTGCAATTCAAATCAAGCCATTCCCTGAGACGGGCCACAAGTCTATTACCAACATTCCGACACTCGTCCATGCGCATCCAACAGGACGCGTGACGGCACTGACGTTCTCTCCTTTTCATAATGACCTGTTATTGTCTGCAGGAGATGCTGTTGCTACTGTGAAGGTCTGGAAATTACCAAGCAAGGAGCCAATGAGACAAGATCTTGTGACACCTGTGACGGTCTTTCAACATGAGAAAACAATGGGGATTGTAGCAGGAATTATACCGCATCTATCGGCTGACTCAGTGGTTGCAACGTACTCGAGACCAGGACCAGTGAGAATTTATGATTTGCAAGCGGAAACGTTGAGTTTTGAGGTCGCAGTGGACGAAGGTGCAGTGGTGAGCTCAGTGGCTTGGAATTGGGATGGTAGTGCAATGTTAGTGGCAACGCAGGATCAGGCAGTGAGGTTCTTGGACCCGAGATTGGATCAAACGTCGACGCCTGTGATTGCAGCTGCTCATACTGGAAAAAGACATGTGAATGTGGTCTGGTGTGGACGAACGCAGCATTTTATCACGTGTGGAAGCGATCGGATGCTTGAACGAGAGATCAAATTGTGGGATTCGAGACAATTGGCAAAGTGTGTGCATCGAGAAAGATTGGACATGCGAGGTGTGGGCCAATTGTTTCCGTTGTATGATGTGGATTTGAATCTGTTGTATGTGCTGAGGAAGGGAGATTATAGTGTAAAAATGTTTGAGATACGAGCTTCTAATGGACTTAGTGCACTGGATTACACTGCACTTAGCAACATGACACTTGCAGCAACGCTACTGCCCAAGTCGACATGTGATACAAACGTCTGCGAAATTGCACGGGTTCTGAATCTCAGCGCGAGCGGAAGCAGTGTTGGTGGTAGCTGCGAAGTTCTAAGCTACCGGATGCCTCGCAAAGAGGCGACGCATACGTTCCAAAGTGACTTGTACCCGGACACGTTAGCCACACAAGCTGCGATAACATCTCAAGAGTGGCAACAAGGACAGAATGCTGAGCCCAAGGTGCAGGCTGTGACCCCAACTGTGAAGCGGATTGAGGACATGAGCCGAAGTGTGTTTGGACAACCAACGGCAAGTGCATCTGCAGCATCGGGTTGGGGAGCGCCAGCTTCAAATGCTGGAACTGCAACCAATGGGTGGCAAGCATCAGGTTGGGGCCAAGCGTTATCGTCAACGGCGTCATCGATTACACCGTCAAAAACTGCATCTGATCTTAAGACAGGGTGGGGATCAAACGCAAGAAAGTGGAACGAATCTGAGCCTAAGACCCAAACGACCCCTGCGTTGTCGATACAATGGGGCACTTCTGCTCCTACCGATGCTACTGCTACGATACCAAAACCTGGGGCAGCCCATATCTCATCGATATCTGCAACTTCTACTCCACCTTCTGTCACGACGGACGCATCTGAAGCATCAACGACGACGCCTGATGAATTATCTTCTGACACTCTCGCTGCTACCACACCCAACGTGTCATCAAGTGGGACAGCTCAATCAACAATTGCAGATGTGATCAAGCTGTCGGACAAGGCACAGCGCCTCGGCGCCAAATACGGACATAAGCTGAAGTATGTGCAAGGCAAAGAAGCACCACGTAACGAGGTGTTTTACTTTGGTGACAAGCGTGTCGCATTTTTGACGCAAGCATCGCCTGTGATTGCTGCAAACGCAACGTTTTGGGCAACACCCATTGCTGGTGCAGGTGGCCCCGTACTCGTGGAAACGCTTGGGGCGACTGGAAAGGCACAGCATGGCACTGTGCCAGTAATTAACGGACAGAAGGCTGAAGTGTCTACACTGGCATTCAATCCTTTCGCTGACAACGTGCTTGCGACCGGGTCAGCTGACTCAACTATTCAGCTTTGGTGTCTCCCGAAAACCGAGTTGAATACATCCAATGCACCGAGTAATCCTTCACTGACGCTGTCGGGGCACACGAAGGGCCTAAGGGCTCTTCAGTTTAACCCAACAGCGGCCGACGTCCTCTGCTCAACAAGTCACGATCTCTCACTGCGCTTTTGGGATATCGAGACGGGACAGGAAAAAATATGTATGGAGGGCAAACTGGACGACATCACATGGAACATGGCTTTCAGTAATGACGGCGCTATGCTGGCTACTGCAAGCCGTGCTAAAATTGTGCGTGTGTTTGACCCTCGCCAGCCTGAGCATGCGTTAGTTACTATGGGTTGTGGCCACGAGAGCAACAAACCACAGTTTGTTGCATGGGCAGACTCCGTGCGTTTGCTAACAGTTGGTGTTAATGAACGCAACGAGACGCAGGTCAGTTTCTGGGACTCGCGCAGCCTGCTGGAGCCACTAGGTGTGCCGGTGTTGGTAGAACCAACGGCTAGTGCGGCTAGCACCACGACGCCGATTCCATTATACGATGCTAGTTCGCACCTGCTCTTTCTTGTAGGCACAGGAAGTCGCCACATTTGGAGTTATGAAGTTGACCCGGTCGCTGCAACCGTGCAAGCTAATCTGCCATTCCTGATGACCGGTACCGGCACCATCGGCGGCGTTTCGCTTCTTCCAAAGACCATGTGTAACGTTCGTGATGTCGAACTGGCGCGGTTGCTCGTGGCAACGCCCGACGTCGTAAAGCGAGTGACATTTTCTCTTCCGCGAGCACAGAAGCTGAAGGAGTTTTTCCAAGACGACGTCTTCGGCTTGGTTCCTAAGCAAGAACCATCAGTGACTGCCACACAGTGGTTCGCGGGCGAGTCTAGAGCTCCTGTGTACGAGTCCCTTCGACCTGACGGTACGTTACACATCGCTAGTAGATTGCTGATGTAGAGTTTGCTGACCCTTATCTTCCCATGTATCGTACGGTAGGCATGGCGCTGCTCTCGGAAAAGCGGAAAGACGCTGCACCAGAGCGTCCCAAGACTTTAGATTTCCAAGCCTGCAGGCGAGAGGAGGAGGAGAAAGCGCGCCAGAAGGCCGCCCAATTTGCTCGGCTCAGTGTAAGTAACTGCTGTTTTGACCTCGCACATTTTGTAGCTGATTTGGCATCTATTGTTGCCCGAGCCGCTGCAGACTCTTGCCACGCAGCCATCGCTGCATTCCACTCATCGATATCTAGCCAGTGCACCAACGCCTCAAACTGTAGAGGACGACAGTGACGATGACTGGGACGACTGAAAAAAATAGCAGAGTAATAATTAATATGGGTTCTTGCAGTAAGAACCAAAGCCACGCCTGGACCACAGACCGGCAGTTTGATTATACTTATAACTCCAGCCGCACAAACTTGCCCCTGTATCAATTTTCCCTGTTGCTGCTTCCATCCTCCTCAATAGATAACTTGCCAAAACTGGAAGCTGCCTTCGAAGCAGTTCAAGCACGTAGACATCGACACGCTGCTACCGTGCAAAACTCTCATAAAGTTGCCTGCAAACCCGCGTAAAGTACTTCGGTTCCTGTCTTGACACCAGCTCAATTTCCTTTACTATAGCATCACACGACACCTGCACGAAATAATTACGCGCACAAAGAAGCACCACACAATTAGCACTCTGCGCATTAAGAGCAACTGTAGCTTGTAGACAAAAACATACCTGGCCGTGTGGCACCTGCACTGCCGTTTGGTAATCGGTATATGGGTACACTGGAAGAAGAGAGAATCCGACGCTGAACTGGACACACTCAGCGTCAATACGCGAAACCGCAGACGGCAACTTGAGGAAGTCAACCCAAAGCGCGCTATCTTCTTCATTGTAGCGCATAGCGAAACGGGTCGACAGCTCACGCAGCTCCTTTAATAACCGGAAAGAGCGGTTGATGAAATGTTCCAGGATTTGCAGCTTTGACAACGTGTGTCCATAGTTTTGATCTCCAAAATCGGATTCATCAGCAATTTGAGAAATGTAGTGAGGATCCAGTAGTAGCCGCTGAAGCACTAAAACTACGTCACTTTCATAAGGAAGGTACATACTTCGCTCCTTGTGCTTGAGTACTTCGTTTGTTTTGATCGACACGCACGTCTCTCCCATCAAAGAGGACCCCACATGGACATCCACACAGATCTCTACGTCAAACAACACGTCTTCGAATCGAGCACTTAACCGAAGAGCTGAAGCTGTCGCCTCACGAATTTTCCACACGCTCATGCTCTCCTGGATCGCAAGCATTTCCTCTGTCGCTAACACCTCCTGCTCAAAAAGCGATGCTGCTTCCGATGTCACTGGCTCCAGTTCTGCCGCCCGTCCCTCGAGAACATTTAAGCGACTTTGTAACACTGACTCCTCCAGCGACAGTGACGAACACTCCTTCTCCAGGTCTTTCACGGCAGTCGCGTATTCGTCATGGGCACCTTGTTGTTCTTCAATTGCATCCAATAGTAGACCCATTTGTTCTTCACGATCAATCATCTCTTTTATAGCAGCCAGCTCATTTTGACGTCTCAATGTACCAGCAGATATACAATCTTTCAGCGACCTCACATCATTTGCCAGCAAATCTGCGCCGACGGACAAGCTACTGGCGAGTTGATTTTCCACCTGTGCCTGCAGCTGACACCAACCGGTTCGAGCCACCATCGCCTCGGTTGCATACAGCTCCTGAATAGCTTTCCGGCCTGCATCATCTAGGGTTCCCGGGCTAAAAACTGCTGGAGCCTTAATGCTCAGCAAGGAAGAAAGCTCTTCCGTCACAGCTATAGACCATGAAGACACGTCTCGAGTATGACGTTCAACCACCTTTGAGCATGTATCATACGCGCAAGCAAGCTTCACATTCTTTGCATTGTCGGACGATTCAGCTTCCTCTTGGAAAAAGGCATCGTCCATCCCCACTAGTGCATTCTGTTCGTTCAAAGCAACGGATGCAAGAAGCTCTTCCATTGTAATCAAGTGAACAGGAAGTGCCTCGGGAGACGCTTCACGCTGGGAGTTGGCTTCACCATCCGTGCTAACTCGATCAAACTTGGCCTTCAAGTTAACATGGAGAGATTCGAGGTCGGCAGTATACTCTTCATCGCTCTCATTGAGATCGAGGCTCATCATACTCTGGCTTCGAGACGAAGTCATGGTTTCGTCTTTCTCTTGGATCGGATCCAGAGTGGCGTCTTGATCGTTCAACCTGAGGAAGGCACCACCAGTCAGGCTATCCTGACTATAAACCTCAACCTCGTTGGCCAAGTCACCCAATGACCCAGGAAGATCCTGATGGTCAGACTCTTGCACCGATTTGGTTAGCTCATACACGGATGATTCCGCAAGAAGATGACCTAAACTAAACTCTGCAGTATCTTCATCACGAGGCTGACTCGCAGATAACATTGATTGCTTTCCCGTGGCGTCGCGGTCTAACATGTGCGAATAATCGCCCGTGATCTCCATGTCCTCCCCGGTGTCCGAAGATGCTGACGAGTCTGCATAAGGCATGCGGCCTGTCTCTAGAACGTTGGTCGCCCGAGAAAAAGAATTGTTAGATGGGGAAAGAGAGCTGGCAGATGAACTTTCATTGAGAGTAAACGACGTGGCCATGGCAGACACCACAGTCGGGGTTTGACGGGTAACGTTAATGGTCTGACGCCTGCGTCGACGAGCTTCAGTCTGAGAATCAAGAGGACTGTAGCCCCGCATACTCTGCCGACGACGACGTTTTTCCGTCGTTTTCAGCCCCAGAAAACTACTTCTTCGTGATTGGAGTAGATCAAAACCTGGCTTCTTGAGCTGTGTCGTCGTTAAGACACCGACTTTTATTGGCTCTTTCTCGTCAACTGAGTCAGCCTCATCAAGAATGGACGTGTTTAAAGACGTTTCTGCGTCATCGGATTCTTCCTCTGATGAGGCCGGTGACTCCAGCGGAAAAAGCCGCGAAGCATCCTTGGCCAACATGGGAGTCATTGACGTAGATGGCGACCCATGGTTAAACTCGGCACCTTGCGACGGGCCAAAATTGACAGACTTATTCGGCGTTGTCTGCACAGGATCCGCAGCATTCTTTCGCAACTTGCGTGCGCTCAGGATTCCTTTCAGTGAAGTCCTGATCTTCGGATCTCCTGGAGGAGGTGAAAACAACGAAGGCTTGGAAATGTTAGATGCTGGGAGCCTGTCAGAAGACCTCTGGTTGCTGTCACTTATTTCTTGCTGATCTTTAGCCTGGGATCCTAGCTTGGATTCCGCATGCAGAGGCGAGTCTAAATCCATAGACTCCATGGTCGGATCGTCGTTACAAGGTCGCACACGTTTCTCAGAGGCGTCTCCACAAACATCTAAGTCGTTAGCGCGCTTTCGTGACGATTCTTTCGCTGAGTCCTTATTCACAGCTGAAGGAGACCCCTGTGCACTAATCAATTCCAATAAACCATGTTCGTCAATGGTCTGTCGACGATTATCCTTTTGTTTTAGCTGCGAAATGTCTTCCAGCATCACTAATGCGTCGCCTGGGTCGACTGTCGTCCGTCGCATAGAGTCGCCCATTGTTGGATTCAACGATTCCTTGCCCTTGGGTTCCTTTGCTGGTAATGGCGACGTTCTGCTCTTAGCCACTTTCACTGGCGACGGCGACTTTTTGCGCGCAGAATCATGTGACGAACTTGAGGGCTTCTTCCTCCTAACTTTCTTCGGCGAGTTATTGTTCTCCTTTGATGGTGGTGACACTTTCTTGTCTTTCGTCAGTTTTGATGGAGTCACTGTCTTCATCTTCCACACTCTTTTCTGCTCTAACGAACGGTCATCATCATCCAATTCGCTTTCCATCTCCAACGTTGAATTACTCAAACATCTCATCTCTTTTTCCAGTGCTGAAACCACTGCCGCTGCCTCAGTCGGATCCAACGTCGTTCTTCTCTCCGTATCCTGCTCCAGTAAATTAGGAGCAAACATCAATTCCGTAAAACTATCACTTGTATCAACCATCGACGTGCTTTTTCTCCGATCGTCCACACTCTGATCAGATGGCACTATCTTCTTTTTTGTCACTGATCTCGGTCGTTTACTCTTGGACCTCGTAGATCTCACAGGTGAGTCCTGTATATTGTCACTAAAATTCATCCGCCTCTTTACAGAGTCTCCAGCTATGTCCTTCCTTAATTCTTCCTCCTCCTTTTCTCTCCTCTCTGTTACATGCTGTAGTTCCAAACTATTTCTGCTCTTACATAAGCTCTTCTTCTGCTTTTTCTCTATAACCTGTTGCCCCTCATCTCCAGCAGCACGTAGTACTGCTTTTAAAGTCTCCGGACTGACTGTATCTCTTCTAAAAACGGCCGCATTCAGTGTCTCTTCTTGTAATAGCATCGCCTTGGATGGCGACAGCGTACACTGTCTCTCTTCCTCACTCGACAGCGGCTCGTCTTCCTCTGTCTTGTGCTTCTGCTTCTGCTCCTGCCTGTTCTCTGTATTTTTTATACTCGTTTTCTGATTCTCTCTGGCGCTGGAAGACGCTGCATCTGATTCCGTCTCAGACGTCACAAGTGACGCGTTTAAAGCGTCGTTTTGCGCTCTATTGACGGCGATTTCGCCCAGAATTTCACACTGTAGTTGATCTTTAATGCTTTCTTCTTTTCGTATAGACGGTGCATACAGAGCGTACGCTGCGTCGGTGCCATTAGCGTCGGCCATGGGAGCGATGCGGACCTGGAGCGCGGTCTTGACCGCTTGTTGAAATTCGAAAAACCTCGAAAGGAGAGTAAAACCTTAAATGGATATGGGTGGAAAGATGATGTACCGGTACATGAATTTGTTGCTACTGGGTTGGTAATGTGGTGTACACAATGTAGCTATCTTGTTAAAGCACTGGCTGTGCTTTCATGTGCTATACTTGAACGGACATTAACTTGCAGAGAGAGAGCACGATGACGGACATTAGGGACGCTAAACACAAGCGTAAGACCGAGAAGAAGATGAAGAAAGCTGTACGTAAGACTACAGAAGTTGCTGCAACGAAGAATACAGAAACGAAGCAGCAGAACTCTTCCAAGATGGACAAGAAACGCAGTAAGAAACACAAACGCACTCGTGAAGAGACTGAGACGCCTGTTGAGAGCTCTGTTGAGATGAAAAAGCCTATGAAAGAGAAGAAGAACAAGAACAAGAAGAAGCACAAGAAAAATGAAGATGAAACGCGAGATACGGACTTCTCGGAGGGTCCGTACCAGCAGCCAGCGGCCAAGGACGGCAGCTTCAAGAAGTCCTTCTACATGGAAGGCAAGGACACGGCTAAAATGACCAACGAGGAGGTCTCGAGTTTTCATCAAGCCAATCAGATGATCCTCAGTGGTAACAACTGCCTCTACCGTCCTGTACTGAGCTTTGACGACGTCACGTTCGAGTCCAAGTTCATGAAGACTACTAAAGGTTTCGACACACCTACGCCAATCCAGAGCCAATGCTGGCCTATTCTAGCTTCGGGACGTGATATTATTGGTATCGCCGAGACGGGATCGGGAAAGACATTGGCATTTGCCATCCCTGGTCTGATCCACATTGCTGCTCAGCCAGAGGTGTCGCCTAAATTTCCTGGTCCGCGCATGCTCGTTGTGGCACCTACACGCGAACTCGCAATGCAGAGTTCGGCAGTGATTTCAGAGGCTGGTAAGAAATGTGGACTTAAGAGCATCTGCATTTACGGAGGTGTGCCCAAGCAGATGCAGAAGAAGGCGCTGCGAGACGGCGTGCACGTCGTGGTGGCCACACCCGGTCGTCTGAAAGATCTGATTGAAGAACGCTCGTGCAATTTGTCTAAGGTTTCGTTTGTGGTGCTTGACGAGGCTGATCGTATGCTTGACGAGGGTTTTGAGAAGGACATCCGCGCCATTATCGGCGGTACCCACCCGGAACGCCAAATTGCCATGTTCAGCGCGACGTGGCCTCAGTCCATTCAGAAACTAGCCCATGAATTTCTTACGGATCCCGTCAAAGTAACAATTGGCTCAGACGAACTTGCTGCCAGTCACAACGTCACGCAAATTGTTGAAGTCATCGACGACCGTGCTCGTGATGCCCGTGCCCACGCTTTGCTGCAGAAATACCATTCGAGCCGCAAGAACCGCATCCTGTTGTTTGTGCTCTACAAAAAGGAAGCCGATCGTGTTGAACGTATGTTACAACAACGTGGATGGCACTGTGTAGCCATTCACGGCGACCGTAATCAACACCAGCGTTCTGAGGCCGTTGAACAGTTCAAGTCTGGCAAGGTGCCTCTGCTGATCGCTACGGATGTCGCAGCTCGTGGCCTTGATATCCCTGGCGTCGAATACGTTCTGAACTATTCATTTCCGCTGACAATTGAGGATTACGTGCACCGAATTGGCCGCACAGGCCGTGGTGGTAACAAGGGAATTTCTCACACGTTCTTCACCGCCAATGACAAACCGCGTGCCGGTGAGCTGGTGAACCTGCTGCGCGAAAGCAACCAGGAGGTGCCAGATGATCTGACCAAGTTTGGTACGCATGTCAAAAAGAAAGAGCACAAGATGTACGGCGCTTTTGCTAAGAACATCGACGTCACCAAGAAGGCGACCAAGATTACCTTTGACGATGATGACGAGTAAGTTGTACAATGATTGTGAGATATTGTCGCTGTTACTAGGTTAGGTTCCAGGTGGAGGGAGATACTTCCTGTAGTCTTTAGATTGCTTCCATAAGTTGCGTTGCGTGGGAACATGCAGCCTTTGTATTGCACCTTCTTTTGTTGCACGTCTTCCGTGAACTACCTGAAGAAACAGAGAAACCATGCCTTCCATCAGCTCGTTATTGGCCGTCATCACTAGAATAGCCTTCAATCAGCAGTGCTGTTGTAGGTGACTTGGACAAAGGCCTTGAGTCGATGCCTTCTTGTTTCTGCTTGTCGATTGGTTTGCAAGTGTCGCTTTCAGCATCACTTTGAGTCACGCTTGACATCTTTTTCAGCTTCTTCACCTTCGTCGTGTGCTTCTTCTCCGTCATGTCCTTCCTCTTCTTGGCCTTGACTACCACAACCACCTTTTTTTCAGAAGACAACACGGGCTTTTTCCCTGCAATTACAGGAATCTCCAGCATCGTCGGCTTCTGCGTCTGTACTTTCGAAGCATTCGAGCGAAACGTCTGCAGCGCTGCGTATATACCGTCAATAGAGATAACCCGAGACATGTAATACACAAAAGACCTTACCAGAGAGACGTGCCATGTGCTCTTTCCGCTTGGCCTCTTGCTCCAATAGCGTCTGTTCTACCAAATACAAGCGATCCGACGGATCCAGCAATCCCCGACCACCTCCGAGTCCTGCGTTTTCCTCCTTAGCAACCATTTGTCGTTCTTCTTTCGTTGACGTACTCACTTCTTTAAATTCTGTACGAGAAGTTGGTCCACCACCACTCATGACTAGTCGCCGTAGTGCATCTGAATCTTGATTAGCAGGATGCCATGACGGAACGTCCATCGGATGGATTGTGGATACTTTGGAAATGGGTGCACATCACGTTATCCTGTTAGAATTGATATGAAGAGGTAAACAATATACAGTACTTACACGTCGTATTGATCTCAATAGATTTAATACCCTGTTGAATTTGGTATCTCAGATCATCGTACGACATCACAAGCACCTGCCATTCCTCCTTTACTCTTGACAATGATACGTCTCTCCTTGGGAGCTCTTTATCTCGTTAGTACACTTGCCGAGCCTCCTGTACAGCTCAATGGTTGGTATCCATGCTCACGGAATTCTCTGGAACCTGAAAATGAAGCCAAGGGTCATCCAGATTCCTATTATTTGGACACATCCAGCTCAAATACGAGACGAAGAGCTACGGTCGAGGTAGAGCCGACACCGACATTGTCGCTGCCTTTTCTGCATCGATCTTTTGACCGACTGTACGACCAACATCATGACTGGAAGAAACAACTGAGACAGGATTATTACAACCAGCAACACAAGATACATCATGGCAAAGTGGGTCAAGACTCAATGGACACTACGCCGCAGTACGAGTGCGCAGAATTTCGCGTACCAATGTGTTATGATGACGTATGCAAGAGTAACAATACCATTGACGTATTTGTAAAACGTGTGGTGGCTACGGCTACTTTTGATGGACAGAAAGAAAAAGCACTGTGGGTGCTACAAGGAGGTCCAGGAGCTTCTTCCACGGGCGTGGAAGGTCTGATGAACACCATGTATTTGCAATTAGAGAGAGAGGTTAGTGTTTATACTTTTGACCACAGAGGAACGGGACGAAGTGCTAGATTGGTGTGTCAAGCAGCACAAGCAGGAGGCTTGGGCAGTCCAGGAGGTCTGGCCATTCGACTGGATGAATTGCCCGCGTGTATGGACGACATTCGCTTTCAAATTGACAACCAGACCGCTGCATTTTCCGTCACGAGCGCAGCAAAGGACTTGGCTGCCATCATCAACTATGAACTTAGTGACCAGGATGTCTACGTGTATGGACTCAGTTATGGCACCTACATGGTCGAGAGGCTGATGCACTTTACACCAGCAAGTGTCCGTGGTTTCGCAGTGGATGGCATTGTGTCCGAGAGCGGTGAATCGGTGGAAAGTCGAGCGACGTTCTCGAATTGGGACCGTGATGTCGGTATTGTGGGAGATCGATTTCTCGCTGCTTGTATGGTAGATGAGTTTTGTAAGAGCAAATTCTCGGGCGTGACAGACCTCGTAGCGTTTGTGCATGAACTGTACGATAAACTGGATGCTGCTGTGGCTGATGGCAAAAGCGGCATAAACGCCTGTGCAGACGCCTTAGCCAAGAATGGCAAGAAACCCTCCTACTTGCTGCGTTCTGCCTTCGGCGAATATCTCATGTCGGACCACATGCGAATCGCGATTCCAGCTGTGATATACCGTGCGTCTCGCTGTACTGACCAAGATGCCGATGCTCTTTCTTACTTTGTGGATAAACTTCGCCAGACTGAAGAAGACGATGAATCTGGTAATTCTGAGCCAGAGACTCTTCTTTTTGACTCGGATATGCTCTACTACCTGATCGTGTTCTCCGAGATGTGGGAATATCCTACACCTGATAAGGCGACACTTGTTAGCTGGTACGAGAACTCCACGATGGCGTCGGACAATTACTTATCACTCCCCTACTACTGTTTGTTTACGGGTAGTCGCGAACACGCATGCCAGGAGCTAATTCATCTCCCTGTGGCTCGACCTTTGGTGTATGAGCGTGACCAATACTGGAACAAGACAACGGAACTACCTGATGGAGTGACGGCACTGCTTATGACGGGTGGGATGGATCTGCAGACACGACGTATGTATGGCGAATTAGAGTACAAAATGATGGCCGGCGAACGGATGCTCGTGAGCTTTGACGACGCTGGGCATTGTACTACTTTTACAACCCCAACGAACGGCGGTGGTGTGACTTGCGGCGTACGTATATTGACATCTTACGTGAAAGAAAATGGTGAATTGAAAAACGTGAACACTAGCTGTATGGACGATCTGAAACCTATCACATTCTCGGATAAAGCTGTTGGTGGCCAAGAAGTTTTCGGTAAGGGCGATTTGTACGAGAACTCGGAGACAAATGGGCAAGGCTAGAGTAAAATAATGTATTCGATAGATGTGACTTGGCTTACATGAGATCACTTTGCCTTTCACGCCAATGCGAAAGCAGTGCCCATGCATGAAAGCAAGATATTGGAAAGAGCTAAAGATAACCGCATCTCGACGAAACGCAATGCGTTTGCATTGGATGAGGCCATTCCTTCATCAGGCAAACCAAACTCCTGGCTAAGTCTAAGAGGAAAACTTGGTTTGCTATCTTACCAATGCATACTACAGCTCTACTCCATCTTAGTCTTTGATTGTAATGAGAACCTGCACTTCTTCGGGGGACCCTCGGCTGCTCATACGGAGTTCTCGCATTGCCTCGCATGTGATGACACCGAAAAGAACCACTCCGATGATAAGAAGAAACATCACTTCATCCAGTGACCATGGAACCCCAACATTATTCCCGTTAGCCTCTGAGCTAAGCATTTTCTCGCGTGGTGCAGCTTCTTCTTCTTCTTCTTGTTCTCCGACATTCATCTCAATAGTTCCTTGATTCCAGCCATCCAGGCACTTGGTTGTCGTAAGATGCGTAAACCATTTCGCTGCTGGACACGGAATGCGAGGAAGCCCTTGCGCCGAACGAGAGGTGACATTTGCATCGCGCACACCGAATTGAGGTTCGTAAGAGCCCCGCTCATTGGTGTCTGGAAGCCACGCAGTGTATCCAATGATTGGGATCTTCTCCTCCACGACTGCTTTGTACAATTGTCCCACGTAGACTTGAAAGTACTGGAGCCGGTCCAAATTATCAACCTGATCATTTCCCCATCGACCGTTATCTGTCAGCAAGATCTCCGTCGAGAGATCTTTCTCATGCAGCCACTTGATGGTGGCAACGTAATCGTCCGTGGGAGGTATACGGGCACTACTAGGTGTTCGTGTATCGTCGATCCCTCTATCACGAGCGTGACCCTGCGGAAGTTCGTCGCACACTATTGCAGAGTGCTCCGAGTCGCAGTTAGTCACAACGCGAGAGTAATAATTGCTGAGCATAAACACATCATACGATCCATTGATTAGTGCAGCCTCTTCGAAGCTGAATCGTGGAAGTCGTTCACCGACACGCTCACGCATGATTTCTGGATACTCACCAGTCATAATTGGTGTCATGAACCAGACAAGATCGAACTGCATTTTCCGTTCTGCTGCTTCCACGTCCAGAGTGTCTGACTCATCCACCGGGTAACCGAACTCGGCATTTAACACAATGCCAATGCGAGCACCAGCAGCAACAACACTTGTCTCTTCTCTCTTCAGTGTACGGAAAATTGCCACCGCTTTCGCATGTGACAACAGCACGTTGTGCCCCACCGTGTACGTATTCGTGTCCGATGACTTCACTGCACCCGGAGCAGCGTCACGCAAGCCGTAGCTACGACTAATAAACGTCAACGGCTCATTAAATGTTGCCCAGTACTTGACTTTGCTTCCAAACTCACGGAATACTAGCGTTGCAAAGTCTTCAAAGTGTGTCACAATGTCTGGATTCAGCCACCCTTTCGGCTCCAATTGTGTCTGCAACATCAACGGCAGATCGAAATGGTAGAGCGTTACAATCGATTGTATTGCTTTCATCTGTAGAGCATCAAGTAGAGCGTGATAGGAGGCAATTCCTTGAGAATTGGGCCGCATTTTTCGGGTCTCTGCGTCCCAGTGCATGACCCGTGACCAGGAGATGGAGAATCGAAACGATGACATTCCCATGTCACTCATCCATTGTACATTATCACGATAGTGACGAAAGAACGCATGATTCATAGCAGTGCATTGTAAATCGGGCTGGGAGTGGCAGTCGTCGTCTAAAATACTTGATGGTTGTTCTCGATCCGAGATATTCCACGTGCTTTCTACTTGAAATGCAGCAGGTATTGTACCAAATAGAAAATCAGATGGAAAACAGCGAGTTGTTGAGGTGACAATGGAAGAGGCAATACAAATAAAGAGTCTGAGACAGAACGACAAGAGAAGGAAGTACAGCATGAGAGCTCAATCAAGCAGAAGAATGTTAAATGAGACACGCATGACGTTTAGAGAAATGGGTACGAAATACCGGTATTTTGAGACGGTTTCGGTAAGTTATATTCGGGGGGATAAAGCTCAGGCGTGGTGGACGTTTTTTGGCGGTTTTCGTCTGTCTCCATGTATTAACTGTGACGTGTGTGTGTGTAGCCATTGGCCCGTCTTACGAGAAAGACGATACAGTATGCATTCGGTTTTATGACAGCTGGACCAGGATATTGCGATGAATGACGTCGTGGCAATGAAGCCCAGTGAGTTTTGCCGATGATGGTCAATGTTGAATGCATAATGCTTTAGTCATTGATACGAGCTCGTACGTCGAGCCGTCAAGACATTTCGTGACCAAACCATTTGGCTACAGGTCGTGAAAGTCGCTCCAATTTTGTGAGTTGCGGCTCGTAGACATCGATTGTCCTTGGTGTTCGTACTAGACGAGAAAGTGACATAGTACAGACCAAAACGAGGCAAGAACGAGCTCCACTTGTAGTTGTCCAGATATGACTATGTAGTGTAGCCGATGATCGGGATCTTTACTTCTACTAGAGCCAGGTTTTCCACCACACTAGTCATTCTTTATCAACAGAATGTCGGCGGTCGGGGTGGTGGCGTCCAGCCACTTGATCGCTTTCAAGTAATCAGCCGTGAAATAACCGCAGTGGAGCTTGCCATGGTGATCCTTGCTCGACTGACATGAGCCTAGTAACTCGTACAAATGCAAAACGCCGGCACCCTCATTGCGCTCCCAGCCTTTGCCCAGCCTATTCTGCCTTTCATGTACGACATGGTCAATGTAAGTCCAGTGCAATGATCGACACTGTTGTTGTGACCCTGCATCCATGTGATCATAAACGATTGAGTATCTGATCAAGCACATCAAAATACTTGGACATTTAAAGCACACACTGTTATAGACGGAAGACATGATGTTAAATCGATATCTACCACTACAAATAGTAGTAATACTATATTGTCTCGTCCACATCATAGCTACTACTATTACTAGTACCGTTTAGTTTAGTAGTACTAAAACATCCATACTACTCTCAGTAGTAATATTAGCAAACAAAACTTGTAAGACTCCTCGTATAGATGGCTACATCACTTCTCGGACGGAACAAAGCGACGCAGTCCAATCTTAAGCATGAACGAGTCTCTACCTACTACTGTGCGCTGGATCCCAGATGCAGCAGTAAGCGTATGCTTCAGCTGTCAACTGATTTTTGACTGGATGCGCCGTAAACACCATTGCCGGTACGTGACGTACACACACACTCTCTCTCTCTGTCTTCTGTCTATATGACACTGTGTCTATTGTGACTGTCTATATGACACTGTGTCTATTGTGACTGTCTATAGCTACTGTGGCCACGTTTTCTGTGATCTATGCACGCCACAGCGCAGTCTAATACAAGAAGATCTGATTCTTACGGATCCAGAGCACAAGTACCTGGCAGTGAATGCTCATAATCCGCAGCGTGTGTGCGACAAGTGCCACGCGCGACTTGATCCGCAGCAGGAAGAGCTTCGTATGTTTTTCAGGCCAATTGCTAGCAGTTGAGAGAAGAGAATTGCTCTTTATTGATGATGAAGCTTGTTTGCTGTCTGTCAATTAGGTCTGACAATGAGCCACGCTGTACAACAGACGGAGGTGAAGGAGTCGGGACCCCAGAGATTCTTTAACAGTCCTTACTCTTTTACAATGAAGGAGGAGATTCGCAAGGCTACGTATAGTATCAAGAACTTTACCTATCAAGGAGTCGTGAAGGACCAGTCGATCCCACTACCGCTGCTCACTCATGCCAAGGGCATCGCAGTATGTAATGGCTACACTATGAGGAAGTCTCTCTTCGTGTGCTAAGAGATGCTTTGTGTTCTTGCTGTAGTTCTTAACGGTGATCAAGATGGGGTTTGTTTTCACGGGACGTATGGGAACAGGACTTGTAGTCGCGAGGCTGTCTGATGGGAGGTGGTCGGCGCCATCAGCTATTGGTACGGCCGGGGTAGGCTGGGGTCCGCAGATAGGTGGAGAGATCATGGATTTTGTGATCATCCTAAACACTCAACGTGCTGTCGAGGCCTTTTGTGCATCTGGTCAAGTTAATCTAGGCGCTGAGCTGGGTATTTCTGCGGGACCTGTTGGCCGCGTGGCCTCGGGAGCGCTGGAGGCCAGTGCTGCCTCGATGGACGTGATACCGTGCTACTCGTACTCGCACTCAAAGGGCCTGTATGCTGGCATCTCGCTCGAGGGTTCTGTGATCCTCTCGAGATCAGATATTAACCATTCATTCTATGGAAAGGCCGTCCCTATTTCTGATCTACTTGGAGGTATTGAGCCATCTCCTATAGCTGCTGCGCCGCTGTATAACGCTATCCTTGCAGCGACGGAAAGGTCTGTCAATTTGCAATTGCTCACCTTTTGTACCTTTCTGACTGTTGTGCTGTAGTTTCGACATCAGTCCGACGAATGCTACTAACGGTGTTGGGCGCAGCTCATCAGTCTCGACTCAACAGTATCAACCTACAGCATCAGGAGTAGACAGGATACCAGCATCTACGGACAGCAAATTGTTCAGTAACGCTCCCGTCAAATTATAAGTGCAGACCGCCAGGTAAACTGGTTCACTTCATTGTTGATGCCGCAACAGGTTCACTCGTTTGACACAAGCTCTCTTGAAGTCAGCAATTTTAGCTTACTCGTGCGCTTTCTTGCAATTTAGTAGCGAGCAAATCGTACGCTACTCATGCTATAAGACTCAGCTTGTTGTATCATCTTTCAGACAGCTTTTTAGTGACTTGCTGAACTTGCATTAGTTCATCGCAGCCTCTAGAGCCAAAAAGAACTGCTCCTGCATTTGCCGTGCTTCGCAAGCTTTCTGTAAATCACCAAAGAAAAATGAACACGTTAGTTGATGTCAATGACCACTTGATAAGAATGCCATCTTACCTGTGCCTGTTCCTCTTGTGCAGGTGTGGGCATCAATGCACCAACGGCTCCGCTTGCGTTTGTCCGTCCTCCTCTGTTCCCTACCACTCCCGATCCATCAACATTTTCCATCTTGACATCGTCGTCACTTCCAGCAGCAGAGATTCCGTCCACAGCTGCCACGTCGTCCGTCGATTCGTGCAGCTCTCCATGCACACGTTCCACTGCTTGTCTCGACTCGTCAATTGTGCGGCGAATGTCACGTGCCGCATCTCTACGATTCTGTACCTGCGTTTTGAGGATCTGGATCACCGTCTCACGTGCTTGGTGTGGCCGAAAGGCGTTAATGAGGTTGTGCATGTTGAGAAACAATAGCTCCATCTCGTCCAGCTTTTCACTGCCGGAATACAACATGATCAGTATCAAGATCAACTCTCTTTCTCTCCCTTGATTCTATGACCAGTACTTACTTGAACAAGGACGGTTTCTTAATGAGAACGTCTATGAGCTCGACAAAGTTGGCGAGTAGCGAGTGGTTGATCCTATAAGACAGTCATTTTCAGTATAAAACTGTCATAGATCATACAAAATTCACTGTACTTTTTCATCTGTGCCTTGTAGTCCATTAACACGTCGGCATCGTCACGCTTCGATGCATACAATTTCTTGCCTGGCTGCAGCAGATCAGGTACTACGTCCTGCGTGCTGTAGGGTGATCCAAACATGTGGTATGTGGGCTCCATAGGTTTTGGTGGCATAGGACCGCATGCTGAACCTTCTGCATAAAGCGTAAAGAACTTGGGCGGCGCTGGGAATTCGGACACAATCTCGGGTACGTCCTCTTGCTGATCTTGCTCTGTGCTCATGGTTTTGTGTCAAAAATGACAAAAATGTCAAAAATGTCAAGAAATAGTAAGACGAATCGGATTGGTCAGTTTCTTTTTGACATCGTCCTATGTCTTGTTTTGACATCATCTCGTCAATAACAAATGTAGCCACTTCCCAATTAATTTCTTCGTGCCACGAATTTGATTGGTCAGATCTATTTTTGACAAATTTGACTGGACAAATGTACCCACTTGATCATTATAAGGTTCTTCAACGTCTCAATGCTATCGGTCCTTCGTTCTCGGACACGACTCGTGCTCTCCCGCTCGACGCTGAACTTGCAGCCGCGTCGTACATCTTCATTTTCAACATCTTCTGTGCGTCGTCTATGGACTTCATATGCGTCATTATTAGAAACGCATCCGCTACGCGTCAAGATCGTGACAGGCGGCGTCATCGCGGGGCTGGGCGATGTCATTTGCCAGCTTGCACTGGAAAATAACGAGCGCTATTTGAATGTCAAGCGTGTAGCCATTTTCACGTTTGTGGGTGGAGTCTTAATTTCGCCCGTGCTGCACGTCTGGTATCGACTTTTAAGTACGAGATTACCTGGAATCTCGGCTACAGCGATTGCTAAGCGTCTAGCAATGGACCAATTGGGCTTTGCACCCATGTTCTTGCCTATCTTTATATCTTCAGTGATGACACTTGAAGGACGTATGGAGTTTATCCCGGACAAACTGAAAACTGACTGGTGGCCAATCACGAAAGCCAATTGGATTGTCTGGGTACCTGCACAGCTTGTAAATTTCCGCTTTGTGCCGGGATCGATGCAAGTTCTCTTTTCAAATGTGATGGGACTGTTTTGGAACGCATATTTGTCGTATGTTAGCCATTCCGAGGTGATTAAACCGACTTTGGCTGAAGACAAGTCGATGGATGAGGACAAGATCCAAGTCTAAGACGCAGAGAGTAGAGCTGTTCCGAGTTGAGTTGAGATTAAAAAGACATCCGCTGGTTTGATGTGTTTTGTCTGTCTGTCTGTCTGTCTTTCTCTCTCTCTCAAAGAATGTCTGTAATAAGGATACTGCTTCGTATTGCGAACTCACAAAGAAGTACTACAAAAGCGTTGTCAGTTGCTTCGTGTCGACTGGAAGGCCTTGGCCACGAACGACACGAAGCCGTTCGGCATCGTAATCCAATTACAAAAGCTGTGCCTCTAGTCATGCATCGGTATGCCGGGTGAAGAGAAGTATGCGGCTAACAGCGAGATTACGTTAGCACTCTTTGGCATTCACTTACTGCGTTAATAGCTCCGTCAAGTTGTCGAAGCGGTCCGATTCATGCTGGGTTGTGACCTCCTTCTTCAATCTGACAGGGCAGATCGTCGTGCGTTTCTTCTGACTTTTCCGCTTGGTCATCGCATCACTCGTGATGTTGTTCCGAGCGAGACGATTTCGTAGTCACCTTTATGCTCGGTAGCTTGTCAGCCGCTGTAGTAGCTTCTCAGTTTGATCTCCTAGTATGGTTTTGTCAACCGAAAGCGTCTTCAGGTCGACTTCCATCTTTGATCCAAGCAGACGCGTAGACTGATGCTTGCACATGCACGCTTTGTGGACTGTAGCACCATCTATCTACAGCTTTCCATGTGTCATTACGGTAAAAACTGAGACGAATCAAATGGTCTGACTGGTAGTTCCGCTCACGACGATGCAGATGGGTAAAGGGTCGCGAACGAGCTCGGTGGTAGAGTAGGATCGATCCAGCGACGAATAACCTTATCAAACGTCGCATACTATATCAACCTCTTATTCTCGCCTGCTTGCTGTCGATGCATGTGGCTTGAAACCTCTGCTGCTGTTGGAAGGCGTCGATATGGGCGTGGCGGCGATAGACGACGGGTTTATCGTCGTTGCCAATTTACCAAGTCCCATCAGTAGCTGTGCCGACTGGTGGTCTGGGTGGTCGCTAGCAAGCCGCTCATCCCGATCAAGATGCATGAGCTTCTTTGCTGCTAAGGAATGCAGCACAAACCAGGTCACACCTGGAACGAGTCTTTTCAATGGAAAAAAGACTGAACAGAATCGTAGTACTCACCCGTCTCCTCCGTATTGTTGTTAGCAGGTACGATGCTGCTATATGGTCGTTTACATCCGAGTGGTTCTTGTCGTGGCTGCTCAGAATCTATACAAACCCATCACATTAAAAAGACTCTCCCCTTTCTTCATTAGAAATTGTCTACACTACCATATCTGGTGCCTTTTTTCTTGACAAACTGGAGTAGTGGGTCTTCATTAGTACTCCTGACATAGCCTCCATTGACTGCAGTCTCTTTTCTTTCCTCTTCTCCATTATGGTCTTGCATTTCCAGAGCTAAAGACAACTTTAGGCTCCTCTGTAGCTCTTCGTTCCCCACCTCCTGAGACACTGTACTTAGCAGCGACACCACGAGCTTATTATGCAGATCTTTATCAGGTCCCAAGAGCTCTTCAGCTAACGCGTGAAACTCCTCCAATGAGAGCTTGGCGACCATATAGAGATGAAATGAGCTCCAGTAGTGCTTCCACGCATCCCGATGGCGACGCTGGAGGCAGTGGAACAGCTGCAACTTGATCTTCTGCACGTCGTCCAGCAACGTCATCGACGATACCACACCGTGTGTGTGATGTGATGTTTATGTGGTATGATGTACAAAACACCACGGAAACAGTGTGCACTACACCATTTTGGAGTGAAGGTCTCCAAGCGCAATGGACGCCGCGCTAATGGAAGCGCGGCTGCGCGCGTTCTACGCCAAGCACAACCCCGACAACGACCAGAACATGTACGTAACGAGCTTCGTCTAATACATGAGCACAAGACTGTGATGTTTTGGCTGTTGAAAACGCCGTGTAGCTCATGTTATAGCCATACAAAGTCTCATACAATTTCCTTATCTTTTGACATGATAGTGCTGAGATTGTGCGCAAATTCACCGGTCGTGAGCGTCAATTATGCGAAAAACTCGTAAAGAAATACGGAGAAGCACCTGATTTTACGTCTCCAGGAGGCAGCAGCGACCAAATTAAAGATATTAAGGCAGAGAAGGCAGGAATGATCGCAGAGCTCAAGTACCAGAGAGATTTCATACCGTACGCACTGCCCAAAGTTACTAAGAGCTTCTTGGATCTTCGATCAGCTGAGTTTGATGCTCTTAAAGCTCTTCAAGCCCCTACAAAGCTCCTAAAGTTGCCCGTGCCGACGAGTTATCCATTGGATAATATCCAAAAATGTCGTCATTTGGTATGTGGACTACATAATCTCTGTTGATAATCTCAAGTATTTATCTGATACGATTACGTAGTTACCAGAGTCGGATGTGAATTACCAGAGTCTTGTTAGTAGACTCAAGAAATCAAGATCATCAGCATCTGAAGTCAAAGCAGCTATGGTGAAGAAGACAATCGAAAAGACCTCGCCGTCGCTGTTTGAACAACTTGCAGGTACTAGGAGATTGTTTTGTTTGTTTGTTGCTTGTGTTGCTAGATTTTTTCTGATGTTTTTGGTATAGATACGTACGTGGACGAACCTTTTCGTGTACTTCGTCGGTGTTTCCTTGAACGGATGAAGGTGTTTGTCGTTATTCGTCGTGTAAATAGTGTGCGTGGCACATGTTTCGGATTCTTAAAGGCGTTTGATAAACACATGAATCTGGTCTTGCTGGATGTCACGCAAGAGTTTATTTCACATAACACTCATGAAAAACTTCGGCAAGAGGTACGGGATGGTAAACGTGCTGCTAGTGATGCTGTATTCTCAGCAGCAGATAGACACCGTAATCGACATGTACTTGCTGGTGCTGGAGGTACACAACGCGAGTACGTCAAGCAGCTATTTATCCGCGGCGACAACATTGTGTCCGTCAGTGCTGGATTTGTCAACACATCCAATATTCGGCCACGAAATACGTCTAGACCCAACATGCGACGGTTTCCGAAGATGACAAGGTAATGAAGAGAGTCACAAGTCATTGGGTGAAGGTGCAAGAAATTTTACAGCTTCATTGTGCAAAGTTGCTCGGGACTATTGTGCGAAGTCGCTCGTTGCAGTGGCTACCAATGGCACTGCTTCGCTTCTACAAGTCCCCCGGACTATCGTTTTCATGGGCTTCGAGCATTTTGCGTAGTACGCTAGGTTCCGAGCAAAGGACCATGAAGTCGAAAAACGTGTAGAAGACATATGTGTTGGGGTTGTGGGTGTGTAGAGCGCACAAAGTGAAGCGTGCACCGAGGAGAACAGACACCTATGGAACACAAAGGAATGAGAAGCAGGTCCTGCCACGAGGTTTTACCAGAGCTCGTGGTACTCATTCTTCAAGTTTGCGGACGTGCACGGCTTTTAATGGCAGCGACGTTCACATCGTTGGCATTAACGGTGGCGGTCCATCTACTGAGCATCCTGACCTCTCCGCATTCCAAGTGTTCTTCTATGACTCCGGCATGGTTTTTTTTAGGGCATCTACGCCAATGTGACAGAAAATGCTTGTCTTGCCACGTTCGTTCATTAATGCTATAACGAGTATATATAGCTCAAGCGGTTCTCGTATCACCGAGAGATTAACAGTCAAGTCCAAGGTTTGGATAGTACATGTGGTTGATCACCGTTTAAGGATCTGCAGAATCAACAGCATCACTTGACTACGTTACAGCAAGTATCCAATGCGTGCCAATTGAAATTGAAAACGATTTTGTCGAAACCGTTGACTCCCCCAAACGGACGGACACGACGTTCTACTTACTTATCAATCGACGAGCTCCAGAACAAGTCTAGAAACCAGGAATTATCATGACCAAACATGAAGAGATCAAGACCATGAAGCTTTACCATCATTTGGACCGTATCGAGAATCGTCTCAAGGAGTTGGGCTACACCAACAAAGACGTTCGAGTCGACCCAGAGCAGTTGGGCGAATTCGACTCGCTCCACTTCTTTGGGGATGAACCCATCTGCCATATCGTAGAGCTGCTAGCTGAGACACCGACAGAGAAAAAAGTGCTGGACATTGGCTCGGGCTATGGAGGTACCGCACGATTGCTCGCTCATCGCAGCGGCTGCAAGGTCGACGCTTTAGAGCTCCAGCCTGATCTTAGCGACGCCGGTCGAGAACTCACGCGACGTTGCGGACTAGATGAGCAAGTAACGCACTTGGACGGGGACTTTCTAGAGCTTCCGGTCCAGCACAACGAGTACGACGTTGTCGTAGGACTGCTGTGCTTTTTGCACATTGGCAACTGGCGTCAGCTCTTTCAACGCTGCTTTGACAGTCTCAAACCTGGTGGTGTCCTGTACGTGGATGATTTTTTCCTCCGTGGCGACAGGTTGACGCCCGAGGACCAACTCACGCTCAAGCAAGATGTCTATTGCACTGACCTACTGCGTCAAGAGCAAATTGTCGATGTGTTGAAAACCTGTGGCTTCGAGACGCCTAAAGTCCAGGATGCGACAATCAAATGGCAGCCGTACGTGTCGAATCGTGCCGTGAAATACCACGCCGCGCTAGAGACACATATCGCTCGCGACGGTGAGGCAGCAGCTCGTGGTCTTGATCACTTCTATACGTGTATGGCACAGCTTTTTCGAACTGGAAACGTTGGAGGCTACACGCTGATCGTACGTAAACCACTTTGAAACTAAATGTAGTTTAGCTGTGGCTAGCTACTTCTCACGTGCTCTCCTACCAGAACAATAGCTTCACTGATACTCATGACTTACATGATGCTTATGACGCTTTCGTCCTTGACCATAACCTCCATGTCCAACAACTCTTGCTCCTCTTTCTCCTCTTCGTCCGCAACCTGTTCGCAATCGTCGTTCTGCTCCTCAGGCAACGTAAAAGCCTTGAGCATTGCCAGAGCATTCTTGGGTTTATCGAGAGGAACCATGTGGCCAGCCTCGTACACTTGCTGAAAAGTAAAGGATCCGACTTGACGAATCCTGCCAGCCTTCTTGCCATCCACAACCCAGTCCTTATCCGCAGCAGCCAGGAACTCGTCGTGCTTGCTCCACGGCAGCTCCAGCGTCCAGGCCTTGCAGCCCATCCAGTTGACAATGAAATCAGCGTCACCTGCATATACCAAGCCTCGAATGCCCGCCTCAAGCATTGGCGGCACAAGCTGTTGAAAATTCTTCATCCAATCAAACGAAAAGCCTGCATGGACAGCCATGTTGCAGCTCTGCCACTCTGAGCTCTTTGGACTCACATGCAACTTTTTCAACGTATTTTCAAGCCTCAAGAACTTTTCCACATGACTAAAGTCATAGCACATGGGAAAATGTTCACACTTGGCACGAATATCATACACATTTAACCCCGACGCCGAGTACGGTGCCACCAGCGCCGCATTACAGAAAGTCTGTGCCGCTAGACACGCAACTTTCGTCGACTGACAGCTGGAAATCATCGCTATACATGGCGATACAGCTGCTTTCATTGCCAGATAGACAGGATATGACACAGCTTTAATGCCGTACGTGTTATTGTAGGCCATGTCCGGGTAGTATTTGTACTGTACTTGTGGGTCTGTAAGTCCATTACCAATGCCAAAACCTTGTAGATTAATGTGCACTTTTCCCTCTTCAAGTTGATTGCCTGCAAAGATCCGGTGTGCAATGGCCGGTACATAATGACCTGCATAACTCTCTCCAAAGACATAGAAAGGTTGGTCCTTGTACTCGGGTTTCGCTTGAAAGAATTCCTGTAGAAAGTGATACATATCGTCCCCCACTTCCTTCTCCGTAGTGTCATATTCACTCACGTCTCCGTAACTAAAGCCAACGCCGATTGGCTGATCAATCCACATGACATTGGCCCGTTCTGTCCATGAAAAGGGGTTCCGCTTAAGTGACAGATCGTCATTGACGGAACAGGGTCCATTCTCTTGAAGTAACGCCAAGATCGAGCTACATCCCGGACCACCCGTGAGCCAAATGATCAAAGGATCAGTCGAAGGAGAGCCACGAGATTCAAAGAACCAATAGAAATAATTCTTTGACTTGGAACCAGTGATCTTGAAATAACCGCTTAACTGCTTTGTAGAGTCGCAGAAATCCTCATCCACCGAGTTCATAGTCAGTGTAAAGTTCGTATCATTAGAAAAGACGCTGTAGACAAGCACAGAGAGGGTCAATAGGAAAACATGGAAACGATTGGAGCTGCTCATGATGAGGGAGAAGGAGATCTTTTTAGAGAATGATTGATTGAAGTGAGAAAAGAGGGCTTGTATTGAAGTGGATACGATGAGATGTCGCATGTTGAAGTGGGTGCAGGTGGGACAAATTAATTTGATGCGAGCTTTTACATGGTTTTTTTACCCTTTTTAACGCTGGGTGATTGAACGCTAATATGCTAAATGAGAGGTGTAGCTCAGCTGAGTAGAATTAAGAATAATGACTAATTGCAGATATTTTGCAAATTTGACATGATTCAGTTCTAAATATGCACTGCAGGTTCGAGATACCAGTAAATCTGTTTGGGGTGGAGGAGGTCTAAAGCGATGCGCTGAAATAGTACATAGATGGCTTTTTTACGAGGATGGAGGGCATCCATCCACCTTACTACAATTGGTCTAGCATGCATAAGCTGGGGCTTGTTTTATCACGCTTTATCACCTTGAAACGCTGCTTGGAGAGCATGGACACATTGTTTATCTAATATGGATCTCGCGGCTACGTCTCGACCTATAGGAGGTTAAGGAATTAGAAGCTGGAGATTGCCCTCGGATGCACCTGCGCAATCAAGTTTACGCGTTGAAAGAGTAGTCGGTGCACGAGGTCAAAAGACTATCTTTAAAAGGAGTTTCACGAGGCCTGTGACACGGGCATGACTTCTTCACGTTCAACCAATGTGCGGGTTTCAGCAGTTGAGCATGCACTGGAGAGGAACAAGAGGCTACCGAGGGAAAAGTGAGATTTATTCATTAATAGAGCGCGATGTTAAGCTCCAAAAAATGGCACAAGGCGTGACAATTTACACTTTAAATGCACAGGACTTTTTGAAAGCGTTAATTAGAGTGAGTGTTGGGCTGCAACAGTGAAAAAGCTGTACCAAGTAAGCATGGAGACGCAATCTTTGAATCCATTGACTGGCAATCGCAGCAGACTATAACTTTAAACAAAAACTTTGGGTACGATTCCAATGATTAATTTAGTGTTTATACTACTTTACTTTGGAAGGGGTTCCTCAGAAAAAAAGATTGATTTCTATGGAAGATTTCTCATCGTGTAGATCAGTGTGGTGGTACATTTATCCTCACTGGAACCCCGTGGCTACAACATGCAACATGCAGACTTAAATCTCGGCGTTCTTCAGGAAAAAATTAGAGTTAATAGTGACACATTGATGTCCAGGACATCTCGCCAGCTAGTGTATTTTTTCATCCTCAGAAGCAACAGTCCGACGGGCTACGAGTAAGAAAGAATCTGCTGCCTAAAAGTGAAAGTGATCGATGTCGAGAATGTCTCGTGAGCTTTTCGTCACCACTCATTTTCATGGGCTTTTTTATACCTGCGATTAATTGGGTTTGAGCCCATGAACCCGCAAGAAAACCTCTTTAATTTAGTAGCGAAACGACGCGATGGTCAGGACTTAAGACAAAGCACAGTATGCGTCCACTTTGATCCACACAAGAACGTTCATAGAGACATGATATGCAAATAACAATACGGAATAGGGTAGCTTTCCATTCGAGGAAACGTTGGATAAAATGTGTTGAATTGTCGACACCCTTATGTTTCAAGAGCGTTTCTTTCGTTGATCGTAACAGCCTAGAAAGTGGCACAGCTTTGGCCAATAGACTGTCGTCACTGTTGGCACTAATGTCGTAACGCGTTTAGTATATATATGTATAACCCCAGCAGATTTAGTATCTTTTGCACTTGGTATGGACACTGGTGTGACGATTTTTCGACTACTATGAGGCGCTTCTTGACTGATCTGTTCAAGCTTGTTTTTATCCAATCACCTTATCGTACTTACCATTTATCAACACGGTACGTTTATTTTCGTAAAAAGATCGTGGGGGAGAAGACAAAATAAAAGGCACAAGGGAAACTTAAATTGACCATCACTCTTATCCATTCGACTTCATCTACGTTAGGGGTCAATCCACAGGAGCCATGAGCAGTACGCGTAGCAAACAGACGCGTCTGCTACGGCAGACAAGTAGGTTACATGAAATACAAGAGACACAGGGGAAAGATTCACTCGATAGTCACTATTCACGTCTCATGATGGAGCTTGCAACGCTTTGTAGCGATCGTAACAACGTTATTACGACGGAATCCCTTCAATTTTTTGCTTCTAATGGCCGTGCTGAACCTGTAAAACTCGAGCGTGCGGTCGAACGCTCGGAAAAAACACAGGAGAAGCCAAATTTGACGACAAAACAGGACGATCTCTTGAATGCCGACACGGCACGACGACAACGGGTTGAAGAACTGACGAGGTTCTTTATGGAGGCGAAATCGGACATTGAATTTGCATTGGGAGGAGGTCGAGACTTTGTCGAAGCAAAAGAAAAGGACAAAGAAGTGACGGAAGAAGAAGACGAACGAGAGGAAGGGGTAGAGGAAGAAGGAGATGACGACAAGGAAAAGGACGAGACGGGATGCGATCCCGAGAAAGAGCTCGTGAAGATTCATATCAAGTTGTTGCGAGATAAAGTGGATACTCGCGTGTACAACGTGATGCTCGGGCAGATTCGAGAACAAGATCCAGCGCTCTATGGAGCGATTTTATGTCATCCACTTGTCACGGGTGTGGATCTGAAGAAAGAAAAGAAGAAGAAGAAGAAACGGAAAGAGAGAGAACGGAAAGAGAAACAGTTGTTGGCTGGGCAAAAGAGTAGTGGAGTAGGTATGCTCACGCCGGATTTGACAGCTGAACCGTTGGCGGAGGAAGAGATGAAGATGAACATTAGTTGTTTTGTAGCGAGGAGTATTGCTGAAGGATCGTTGCAAGGATTAATGCTTGCAGCGAAGCTAGTGTTGTTGTTTTTGAAGTGCCAGAATAAGGTGGATGACGCACCACCCCCGACGTTTCTGCTTGCGTCGCATCTTCGTGTGCTGCGTGGAGAGAAAGCTCCGGAGTATAAGGTGAAGAAGACAAACATTGGGACAACTTTGACAACAAACGAAATCACAACACCGACAAAAGCAGATCAGTCGAGGTCAGATACGGCTGCCCTTGAAAGTGCCGATGATGGGACGGAGTTGCAAAGTGTCGTCTTGGAAGCTGCCGCCTCTGCCGAAATGGATTTGGACTCTGACAGTGGATCAATTGCAAAGCTTCGTGCTCGATTGAGTCGATTTGGCGATGACAGAGAGGATGAAGAAGATGGAGATGAGGGCGAAGAAGAAGATCTCAATCGTGGAGAAGGCGAAGACAGTTTGGGTGGAGAAGGCGTGGATGAAGATGCGCTCATGGCCCGCGCAATTGCATTGTCGCTGTCTCCCGAGGTCAACTTGCGGGATCAAAATGACGGATCTTCGACTCCTTACAGTGAAAACAAACAAGATGGAGCGGTAACGAAAAGCGGTTCCCCCGAAGTGAAAACTCGCCCTCCCAAGTTCTCGGCTGAGGAGTTGTTAGAGCTTGGCCCATTTGCACTTCCTGGTGCATCGAGTGCAGAAGTCGACGGAGTTACTGTTGTGATGGCATTGATAGCCCAGATGACTAAAATATGTCTGGAGTATCTCAAATCGTGCCAGCAGGGAGAACTTCCGAACAAATCACCTGTTCAGCCGCATCCACTGACGTTCATGCTCCTCAACTCTTTGCTGAGAGATTTGCATACATCAACCTCCCCCCTTCTCAGTGGGCTGATAATTTGGATTGGGTTGCAAAATGGCGCTTGTTCTTGTCGTGCTCGATGCTTTCACTTTTTCGAGTACTAGAAGTACACTTTTTTCACGTCGAAGTGATGGGGATCTGTCCAGCCTCTGTCGGTCTTGGAAATATTCCCAAACTGATCTTACAGCAAAATGACAGTGGAAGCGAACATGTCAATCCGCTGTTGGAAAGTTTGAAGTCGCTAGTTGTGAATTATATTGCCGTTGACAGTCCTCCTCCAATTGACCCTGATCAGGACGTCATTGGTCGAATCATTTTTTCAAGTCCTGAAGCTTGCTCTCCGGTTGACGTTGAAAAGGCTGCAGCGTATTATTGTGCACGTATTCGTGAGCAAGCGATGGCGGCGTGGATACGAGCTTTTGCAATTTTTTACAATGGGCAGAAGGAGCGACAAATAATGCTGGTAACAAAGTTGGCTGAGTGCCACAAGCTTGCCCGAACTGGCGAGCAAAATGTTGAGTGGAAGTTTCACCAGGTAGACCTTCTGTGCGCTCGATTGGCATTGCCGGATATGGCTCAGCATTTTGTGCCCACTTGTGTCGATATTGTCGAACCCGACACTAAATCTGAGCGTGGGCAGAAAAATCAAAGTGAATGTGACTCTTGCGTGAAACCAATCGACGATGGTGCTCTTCAAATTGCCACATTAAAGACAGGAAAGAACAAAGCAAAGTGGAGTACAGCTGTAATTCGTGCTTCGCTTGACTCAGGATCTCTGAGTGCGCGTTGTCTCTACGACTACATATCGGGGCACGGACCTCCTGGTCTTTTGGATGCGATAATGGAGAGCCCTGGCGGTGTCTTAAGTGATGATGCGTTAAACGCTGACACTTTGGCAAATGCATACGAGGAAATGCGAGATATGGGACGAAGGCAACGAGATGAGGCTTTGGACTGCATTAATTCTTTGTCTAGTCTGATTGATTTGCTGCGCGAAAGCATTTTGTCTCCAGGGTGGCACAACTTTTCTTTTACTGACAGCTACGAATTGATACACGCCCCGTTGATACCACTTCTTGAGAATGCGGACGATTCTTCACGACGACTAAACCTGAATGCTAGAATCGTTCTGCTCCGATCAATTCAGGACTTGATGATCCAACGACTTGGTGGCTCTCGTGGTGATGAGCCTCCCGCTCTAGAGTTTGATTCATCGCGGTGCGCTGAAACGATGACGCTTTCTGATGGAAACCGAACTGCAAAGCAATACACAGCAAAGCAGTGGGGGATGGTGATGGCCACCACGGGTTGCCCCCCTAACACCGGCATTCATGAATGGGGCGTTCGTCTCGACCGTTGCGAGAAAGGACATATTTTCCTTGGTGTGTGTACCAGGGATGCATCCGTGGCAACTTATGTTGGTGGTGACCGGCAGGGATGGGGTCTCATTGGAACCCGAGCACTCTGGCACGCTCGAAGCAAAGTACGCGGCGATTACGGTGACGGTTTTACCACGGGCAGTGTTGTCCGAGTTCGATTAAATACGGATAGCGGGGCGCTGTCTTTTGGAGTTGGTGATAGTGAATGGGGCATTGCTTTCGACGGTCTAACGCAACACGGTACCTTGTATCCAGCAATTGGTTTGTATCAACGAGATGATCAAGTTACAATTTTGCCAGTACAACCGACAGTAGATTCGTCTGTTGTTGCATCACCAAGAGGCGAAGTGTTGGAGCACAAAGGTGTTGTGATTCCTGCTGTTCTCAAGCCTTTCTTACACCATGCGGGAGCTCTATTGGAATCTTGTTGCACGTTTTTGTCGAGCCCAGCGCTGAATGATTTAAACATGGCGTCGGAGCAGTCGGAAGGTCTTAGTGTAAGGCCGAAAGTCGACCGTATTCGTGACTACGAGCGCTTGGTGTCCTCGTACCCACTACTGTTTTCGATGGTGACCCCGCTAATCAGTTCCTTAAGTCTTACTCAAAACTATCACGGTTTGACTTCGACGCTAGCTATGACTTTTGTACCCTGGTGTATTCGTACAATACAATGCGTTGAGCGTGTAAACCAAGCGCTTCGAGCACTGTCGTCGTATAATCAAGACGAAGACGACGTTTCTCCTGGAAATCTTGTGCTTAGCGTTGCTGGGGAGTGGGAATTGAAGAGTATGGCAGCTGGAAACATCCCGGCCCAGCAATATCATCTCACACTTTCTCAAGACAAAGACGGATCGATGCATGGACGCAGCAGCGGCCCTTTTACCACGGTGACGCTAAATGGTATTGCTCGGGGTACCAAGGTATCTTTTGTAGAAACTTGGCGCCAAGGAGGAACATGCTTGGTCGAAGGGCGTCTTCGTGCTGATGGAGCCGTATTCACAGGCAGCTATGAAGACACTAAGAGCCATACAAGCGGTTGTCTAGTCGGAAACAAAACATCACAAAATTCCAAAATGAAGGACACGGATGATCGACAGTGGGTGAGCAATCAGCTCGTTATCGTGGAAATGGTAGTTGCGAACTTGCTGGGCTACTTTGGCCATGCATTGACCAGTTTGGAAAATGACGATCTACTTATCGAAAACGTGAATGCGACTGTTTTCAATCTGAATGATGCTGACAGTAGTGACGATGGCGACAGTGACAACGTATATAAGTTGTCATCCTCAGAATGCTCGATTGATGAATATGACGAATGGGTTAGCAGTAACTTGCTAGAGGGTGGACTACCTTTGCACAGCATTCAAGCGCACTTGAAGAGTGTGCTCGAGCGGTGCTCAGAAATGACTGGTTTTGGCTCTACCATAGCTGCAAGCTCTTTGCCTAACCTCGCCGAAGCTACCAAAACTTGGATGGAGTTTGTGTTGCCCAAGACGATTTCAGCTACGCTTTCCAACGTCGGCAGCGTACCGGCTGGTGGGGCTCGCGTCGGCAACGCTTTCTTGAAGAATTTAATTGAAAACCGTGGCGAGGCAGCTGCATTGGATGGGTGGGTATCTAAGCATGTCGGGGAATCACCGTTTGTACGACTAGGAGGGGAGTCAATGAAGGCCACCCGACGTACCGTTTGCGCGGCCATGATATGGCATAGTGGATTTTTGAGTTCAATTAAGATGCACATTGATAATTTGCATAGCAACTTCACGGAAAGCGATGTTCGGCCGCATGACAACTTGATGCAAATATGGCGAGCTGCTCAGAGAGTCATTGAGTGGGCGATCCGAGCAAAAAATTCTATGGGGTCTTCGTATACCGTCGTGGCTGGTCTGGTCATTCGAAAAGCTCAGTTCTTGCTCGAGATTGAACCCAGTGCTAAAGCTTTGGCGGCTGCCGAGGCTGTGTTTGCGCTGATGACAGTAGACAGCGGTGTTCAGAAGATAGCATCCAAGTCAGCAGTATATGAGTGCGCTGAACGTATCTACAGCGATGTTCTAGTACAAGTTGCACGTTTTGTGGAATCTCCTATACGCGTGTCATCGCTGCAATCAAGAATGCTAGGAAACTGCACTGCAGCATTCCTGCGAACAATCGGCATGCTTTCCTTCAGACATTTCGTCGGTGACTCAGGCAGTAAGCACCGTGGTGTTTTGGCTACAGAACGTCACCAAATCATCCAATCTTCGTTCGCATTATCTAGTGCGCTACAGTGGCTGTCCCCGACGCTAGCTGATTGTAAAGCCAACGGCGGTCGTGGCAACTCGCTGGGCAAAGACTTTGGGGACTTCAGTGCTAGTGTAGTTCCAGCATCTACAACCTCAACTCACGCCACTACCGAATCGTCTTACTACCTGAGCGGTCTGGGCGGCTGTGGAAAGCATCTCAATAATGACCTCAGGGCATCTTTTGAGTCATTGTACGGATACCTGAGCGCGTCCTTATCCACGGCGACATGGGCTCGTGATGCTGACCTGCAACTTGTCATTTTATTGGCGTGGGGGATCATCATCCAGCCAGATGACCATTCATTCTTGTCGCGCGTTGGCATTTTCAGAGTGCTGCAAACTGTCTTGGACCAGGCTCGTGGATCCAGTGGAATGAGCTTAACCGAAACTCCACCTGGTTCATGGCAGAGTTCTCCAAAAGATGCAATTTCAATTACTGAGAACAAGAAGAATATTGTCCAGGCTGCATTGAAAGTGGTACACCTGCTGGCTGCACAAGTTGCCCATGCCAGTGACACAGCAGATGGCCTCTTAAGCGCCTCAGATCTTCCGTCGACTCCAGGTCTTAGTTTGGGTTCTATTCCGCTGCTGCGCAAGCCGTCAGGCCCCGAAACGCTCGGAAAGTCCGTATTCCACATGCTCTACACAGAGTTGAAGAACTCTTTGGAAGATATGCGGCGTAACCGGGTAAATTTGAACGTAGACGCTCCACCGACCGCGCTTATGACTGATCCGACACAGTCAAGCGATCCAAGTGCGTCTGGGACAGAAACCAGCTTTCGAGAAGGTCTGGATGATGCTCAAGAGTACTGCTACCAGATATGCTCACTGCTGTACTCGGTGAGTAACTCACCTGTTTGCAGATCGCATCTTTCATCATCTCGATGGCTTCGCTTGTTACTTGCTCTCGTCGACGTGAACTCGCCGCAGATACAGCGCCGCATTCTAAAATTGCTTCGTCGTTTACTTCCATCGCTCGACCCGTCTTCTATTCGAGTTCGATACGACGAGTTTGAAAGTTTTGACATGGACAGTGACGACGAGTTTGACGCTGATGGCCAAGATGAGCTAGATCATGCGACTACTTTGATTAATTTCCTTGTGGGAATTGTGGGAATAAATAATCCTCCAAGTGTCGCTGAAGCAATGCTTCGTCGGCACATAGATTCCAATGGAGAAGGTCTGACGATCCCGGTTCTAAATTCTGGATTCAACGCTGGAGGTCTCGCTGCCGAAGTAGTGCTACTTCTTCGTTCGCTGTACGAGTCGAATAAGTGGACTGCATATTTGAACCGTGCTATCGCCGACGCACTTGCCTCGATTCCTCTTTCCTGTGTCACAGAGCAAGAAGGAGCCATCATAGATACAGCTGATTCCGATGTGGAAATGGAAGACATGTCAAAGGAAATGCCGTCACTTGAAAGCTGGACAACACAAACGGGAAGTTATGTCAAGGCCTTGTCTGCGCTATGTATTCTCGATGGCCATATTGAAGGCCTTCACGTTGGCGGATCAGTTAAAATTATACCTCGATCTGGATCGTCCTTGCAAGAAACCGCTTTCCGAGGGGCAAGAGGTGTAATTGTTGCCTACGAGCCGGAGAAGTCGGCAGCCGAAGTACTCTTGCGTGGAAGCCGCGCAGATGAGACCACTACTCAACAACAATCATTGCTTTCAAGTCGTTCTATACCGGTATGTGAAATAATATTGACAGAAGAGCGACAATTGATTCGTACTGATCCCTTTCATATTTTGTTGTGGAATAGACACGTCCGATTCGTGTACCTATTGATGATCTGCTGGCTGTACCAGAGGTTGAACTGCCAAACAATGCATTTTCGGATACAGTGCTGCAATGTTTACTCGCCGAACGTTTTCCGTACTTTTTGGCGGAAGTCAAGAAGAGTTTTCTGGAGGTGAGTGTCGTTGATGCTCTCAACGAGGCAGACGAGGATGGCGGTAATGACGGAGATAGCGAAGATGACGATGACATGTCCAATGATGGTTCGTCCTCGCCATCGGCGATGGATAGCGAAATGCCCAGTGGAACTTGCGTTGACGAATCGGATTCTGACGCAAATGTGTCCCCCTGCCATCAGAAAAATGGCGATGAATCCAATTTGCCCACAGAACCTACTGGCATTATAGCAGAGATGGAGAAGGAGTCGCGACTTCATCGAATGCTGCTGTGTCAGCATGGTCTTCGTGCTGCTGCTACGTTGCTGAAGAATGACTATTGCGCTGCAACCTTCATCCGTGGTGTTGGACCTACTGGTTTGAAGGACTTGCTGACGGTTGCAATTTCTGAGACACCTACAACAGCAGGAGTTGGAGACATTTCCTCGCTTGAGGAGAGTTGGCTGATGTTGTGGTCCCGTTGGTATGCAATTAGAAGTGCTCATGTAGCACCATCACGCCCTGCTGACAATACAGAAGGCAAAAACAAAACAAGCAGCGCTGAAGAAGCTGACAACTCGCCGGGTCCAATGGTCCAACAGATGATGGAGATGGGATTTCCAAAGGAATGGTGTGATGTTGCTTTGGCTCGTTGCTCTCAGAATGTTGAAGCTGCAATTAATTTCTGCTTCGAGCATAGCAGTGATATGGAGCGTCTTGTTGCGGAGTACTGGTCAAGCCGAGGATCTGGTGAAGAGCGAAGCTCGAAAATGACGCAAAAAGATGACTTTGAAGCTATCAGTCCGTTATTGGAACAGTTGTCCGAGATGGGGTTCCCTTCCAATTGGTGCAAAAAGGCTCTGGCTGCAAACAGAAATAATGTGGACGCAGCATTAACATGGATCTTATCTAATGGCGAGGCTTTGGAGGCAGAAGATCGACGAGATGAAGATGCAAAGCTTCGCGCTTCTGGTGGAGACGCAGCAGATGTAAACGTTTCAAATGCTATCCTCGAAGGTGAAGATACTGTGCTCATGCCAAACCCACTTCGAGCTGTAAGTGGCCAAGCTTGTATCGGTGAGCACGATTTTATGGTAGAAGGCCTGGTTGGTGGTGGATTTGCTAGTGTTGGCGCACCTGACTGCCTTGTTTCGAGCGGGCGATGGTACTACGAAGCTATTCTTCACACCAACGGTTGCATTCAAATCGGATGGGCTGACGTGGCGTTCTGCGGTGCAGCTGATCGTGGAGATGGTGTTGGGGACGGTGCACATTCATGGGCGTATGACGGCTGGAGACAACAACGATGGCATGGATGTTCGTCGTCATGGGGTTCTAAGTGGAAACAGGGTGACGTCATTGGATGTGGAATCGATGCAGATGCAGGCACCGTCATTTTTAGTTTAAATGGCAAGATGCGTTCTGCCAACATGGGTGTCGCTTTCAGAGCTATTCACTTCGCCCGCGGAGTTTACCCGTGTGCAAGCTTTAATCGGCGAGAGCGGTTGCAATTTAATCTTGGTGGATCTCCGTTCAAGTATCCGCCTCCGCCCGGTTTTCAGCCTATCTTGAACGTGCTAAGTGACACCTACGACCTTAGCTCTGTGCCTAAGGGGTTTGATGTGATTGGATCCCGAGAGGATTGCCTGGAAGAAAGCATGGGCGAAGAAAATTACTCGAACGACACCAGGTACTTCGCAAGGGACATGCATCCATCCATGCTTCGGAGTTCAGGCCACAGCCGCAGCAGTGGTTTCGCGTCTAGCTCCGGCATGACGAAGGCGGATACATTGGCTGATATCAAAGCACTTCCCGATAATCGGGTGTATGTCGAGCTGTTGGTGGTCACACGCTCGCTTGCAATCTTGCAGGCGAGGCGGGCGCTCCTGACTTTGCTTGCCAAATGGCCTACAACAATAGTTGGCCCATTCTCCGTTGCAGCGTTTTTATCAGGCGATGTCGCGTTACGTACCGCCACTGATACTGAGGATTCGTCGAGGTTCATCGACTTTATAAAGCTCATTGCGAGTATGAGTGCGCTTCACGTATCCAATGCACTACCGAGTGCGTCGCTGACGCTAACCGACGGTGACGCTCTCCATCTACTTGATTGTGGTGCCACTGGTCGATTTGCACTAGGCTTGCTTTCTGGAGTCGTGAAATCGGCATTGGATGACGCTCTCTTAACAATTGCGTCAGGAGTGTGCGATCGCAACCCCCTGGTGGATACGATTCTCTCCTGCATTTCCTCAGAGGTTAACAGAGCTTCCCAACGCCAGTACGCTAGAATTCCATGGAATTCATCCGAAGCTGCTATTACTGCAACCCTTTTACAGATTACAGCCGAAGCAGGCCAGACGTGGTCCGATAAAGAGGTACTGATCCATCCCAACCTTTTCCTTGCTGATTGGATCAGTGGCTTGTTGCTGGAGTCGTTGGAGAAGCACAAGGAACAGCTTCTATCACCCACACGCGATCAAATCCGGCAACAGTTACTGCTAGCTTGGATTTCATCGCTGAAGTCTCCTAGCATGTGCGTCAAAGAACGTGGAGCAACCGTCCTTGGGGGTATTCTACAAGATATCCTACCAAAGACAAGTGGGTATGTTGATGCAATTGAAACTGGTGGCATTGATGATCAAGCCAAGACACGATTGACGATGGCCTTGGATGTGCTTCCGTTACAACGACTTGTCGACCTCTCGCAGGAACGAATCTTTCGCGAGTATCCCAACATGCCGGTGTGTTCCAAGTACGTTCAAAGCATGATAGAGCTTGTTTCTGCTGCTGGTTTAGCCATGAGTGCAGTGGGACAGTCTACCGATAAGCTGTTTCGAAGCAGCTCATCCCAGCTGCAGGCTTGTAAGCAAATTGAAGCCGACCTGAAGCCGATTCATCAGAAGGAATTTGAGGAAGTGATGGCCGCGAGGAAGATTGTGCAGGCACAACAGGCTGCCGAAGAAGCCGTGAAACAGGAGAAACTTGCTGCAGAGCGCGCAGCAGCTGTGGATGCAGGAGTTGATGGTGACTCAACCTCAAGTCTAAATGATTCGAGCACAACCACCGGCGTCGGCGATGCTACAGCCCAAGGCGTTGACGAAGAAACTAACGCGAGAAGGAGCAGTGGTGCTACAAACATGGAAGTCGACAACAGTGACTCCGAAGAGGCTCCGGATATCACGCTATCCGCGATTGCCAACATGGTAACCGAAGATAGCGATGTACTGGCAGCAACTGCTGCTATTGCTGCAGTCTCTGGCGATCGTCTAGCCGCCAAAGGGCCAGGGAGACGAACAAAACTTCCCATGCCTGAGCTACTTCAGGAAAAGGCTGACACAACGTTTGAGTTTCGCTTACCTGAGAAAGATCCTGTCTTGGATACGTCTTTGCTGAACATGCAGGAAAAAGACGTTCTGGAAGCTGCGAAATGTGGCATTATGGGGGAAGAACTGAGCGGCTGGAAACATGGCAATGACGTAGGAGTTCTTACTGATGCACACACACAGCTCTGGAGTGGTACGCTGACGCAATTTAGACTACGGCAGAAGCAAGAGGAAAGCAACCAACCCGACTTGAAGGTTGGGTGCAAGGTTATTCGCGGACCCAATTGGAAATGGCGCGACCAAGATGGCGGTGAAGGCAGCGTAGGTATAGTTGAGGGTGTGTCACCATGGAGCGGCGTGGATGGTGAGGGTATGTCAGTGCGTTGGCCGAACGATTCGTTGTACACGTACCGCTGGGGAGCAGATGGTAATTTCGACTTGATTCACGTGGAAGTGGATGAAGATGGCAACATCACGCACCAACATGCTACTCCAAAAGCGAAGCAAGAGGATGAGGGATCGTTCGGGTCTGAGCTACATCTTGGTGTGCTGCTGTATCTGTCTGTTGACGAAGACGCTATGTCTACTGCTGACGCCGAGGCTGTGAAGGTGGCTGGCTGGATGGAGTGGCCAGACTACGGGGCTGCTGTTCGTGTCGTTGGCCTACAATATACTGATGGATCGGTATGCGTACAAGAGTTGAAGCTAACACGCGGCAACCCCGACATGGGATGGACGCTTCGCTTTGGAACGGAAAAATGGCAACCTGGTACGAAGTACATGTTGCGCCCGCTTAAGACGTGTGACTCGTCTGGGACAGCATCTCCGGTAGATACGCTTCATGGTGATTACTCGCACTCTGGGGTAAAGGATGGTGAACTTGTCGAAATCCGTGGAGAGCTGCAGGTATCGACGAAGTATTTGTTTACGATGGACCACTACAACCACTTTCCAACAATTGGGATTTCGTCTGATGGACTGTCAGTAACGTGTAACAGTGGTGAATCGCGAAACCTTGCGCTTGGAACGGTGGGGTTTACCACGGGCATACACTATTGGGAGGTTCACGTAGAGCAAGCAGAGTTTGGTAGTGTGTTTATCGGTGTGTGCGAAAAAGCAGGTCCACCAGGCTCCCAGGCTGCGCTATCCAGCCGCTTGAACAGATGGCACGGATGGGGCTTTGTAAACTTCCGTGCAACATACCACAACAGTACAGAGCGGATCTACGGTGACCACTTCAACGCAAGTGATACCATTGGTGTTCGGCTTGATATGGAGCAAGGGAAGTTGTCATTCTTTATGGATGGAATAAAGTTTGGCGAGCATATCGTATCCGATTTGGGCGTCGCATTCGAGAATATGAAGGGCGAGCGCAATTCATGTACACTGTACCCGTGTATTGGTATGCGAAAGGGAGGCGATCGCGTCACGTTAAACCAAAAGTGGGTCTCGATGCCTGGGGTATCTCCACGTCAGATCCTTTCGGACGCTATAGATGTCAGCAAGGCCTTGCATTCCTGGTATGTTGCGATTCAGCAAGAAAAAAGTGCAGCCACGTTTAGGTCATCAGCTGGATCCTCCTCTCCAAAGGCGGAAGCAGCCCCAGCACACATACATGCAGATACTCGTGTGAAGCTGCCGACAAAACTGCTTCGGGAGAGCTGGTTAGAGTGGAAGCGTTGGAGCGGCAAGCACTGGCAACGGTGTCATGTGCGACCACGAGGGATCTCTGTTGACTTTGATACGTCTCCTGCTGCGTGCATCCGTGTCAGCAATGCTGCTGGCCTAGGCGCTCCATTGTTGGCCGGTGATCGCGTTCGCATGTGCATCAAGTGCGGGCAAGAGTTGAATCAACCTGAAGAAGCTGTTATATTGGGTGTGTACCGCGGCTTCCTTTGGTACCGTACCGAAACACAAGGAAACGAAGGTGCCGATGAAGGACGAGCATGGGCCTGGTATTGGTCTCCAAATGAACTGCCAGAGCTTCTTTTGATTCGTCGAGACGGCAAGGATATGACTCTAATCGAGAACAGCGCAATGGATTTGACAGACAATAAAAGTGCGCGTGAGCTCAGTCCGTTTAAGCCCCGTTCGACACTAGAAGAGCGTGCAAGGACAGATTTTAATGCGTTCGTAGAGCTAGCAACACGAGCGCATTCAACCGCATCGGACATGCAATTGGTAGAGCGACTAAATGCCTATTGTGCAGCAATCGGGTTGGACGTGACGAATCTCAATATCGTGGATGTTGTACTTCCAGGAGAGATGGAAGAAGACGACAGCAATACAAGTGCAGCGTCCGGACGTTCTCGGGCACGTTCACTGGTTGTTGATGACTATTTCACATCACCGGCACTGAAAAATATTACTGGCCCCGAGTTGCGAGCACGCACTGCAGTACTAAGGGTGCTGAACAGCAAAATTCTTCGCGTGCTTCCGATCATTGCAATCCAGCCGGACGATGGAAGTAATACTCAGCCGATCGAAGTCTCGGACAGTACCGGGAGTGGCAGTACTTCCGCCAAGCGATTAGCTTTTTCGACGAGTCTGAAATTACGTTCACTCCGACGATTAGTGTTCACGAGCACGAAGCGAGCCTTTTGGGACGACGTTCTACGGGCGACGACAACAAGTACGCCACTACCATCCGACGAATACGAAGATCCGCGTGAGATTCGCGTTATTCGGATCAACCGAATTCAAGCACAAGCGTCAAAGCTAAGTTTGCTTTCTCAACCGGGTGACCGATTGCGTCGTTCAGTATTCGGTCAACTTTACCGAGAAATGCGCGCATGGAGTGACAGCTTTTTCCGCCGTGCCTACTGCGGAAAGGGTCACGGTGGCCAGCGGCGTGCTTTCAAGGTTAAATTTTTAGGTGAGGGTGTGAACGACTACGGTGGACCGTATCGTGCGGTCTTTGAACAGATTGTTGACGAGCTGCAGATGGACAATGTGGAGTTAGCGCAGGGCGAACAGGGCTTGCTGCCACTGCTAATACCGTGCCCGAACCGCCGTAGCGCGACAGGCAGCAACCAGGACAAGTTCTTGTTGAATCCATCGTGTGGCACTGCCTTGTTAGCAAACGGACCCATGGCACTAGATTTGCATCGTTTCCTGGGAAAACTGATTGGCACAGCAGTACGTCATGGTTTGCAGATGGGGCTAGATTTACCTTCACTTGTTTGGCGACCGTTGGCTGGACTTGAGGTCAACCGAGCACACCTTGAGAGCGTCGACGTTGCGGTGGCTAACAATTTGAAGTGCGTTGAGGAACTCAAATTTGATACTGAGACAGCAGCTCAGGACGGAGAAGAGGTGCTAGGCTATTTGACCTTATCAACCACATTGAGTGATGGCATTGAGGTCCCATTGGTTCCCAACGGCGAAAAGATGTCGGTGACCCTGGCAAACCGTGAGCTGTATGTGCAGCTCGTAGAGAACACGCGGCTCACAGAAAGTAGCCAACAGCTCGCGGCACTCAAGGACGGACTGGCGTCTGTGCTTCCAATGGAGCTGTCGCCGTTGTTTACGCCGCGTGAACTCGAAGTGCTGATCTGTGGACGCCGCGAAGTCGACGTAGATCTGCTCCAGCAATGCACAGAATACAGTGAGGGAGCTGATGAGACGATGCCGCACGTGCAACACTTCTGGGAGGTGTTGCGTGAAATGACAAGCGAGGAGAGGACATCCTTCTTGCGTTTCGTATGGGCGCGAAGTCGTATGCCCAACAGCGCCAAGGACTTTCCCATGAACTTTAAGCTACAGGCTGCTCACGACCCAGGCGCTGTCGGCCACCCCGATCAGTATCTACCTCATGCCCAGACGTGCTTTTTTGCGTTGCGGCTCCCGACGTACACAAGCAAAGAGGTGTTGCGGACGAAATTGCTGTATGCGATTCAGAACTCACCCAACATGGACGCCGATGTGCGACTGCATAATGCTGAGGGGTGGGCTGACGCCTAAAACCATTGCAAGCATGTACATTTACGTGTCGTTTACATTTAACATGCTTCATTCAGTTTGTTCTTGTCGAACACAACGTGTTGTTGTTAAACAGAGGTGGTCAGTATCGTTGTATTGTCTTTCCAACTAACTTGGTCTTGTCCAGCAACGACATGTTGTTAAACAGAGGTGTACATTATAGTTTATTGGCCGAAACTCGGGTATCCTCAACTCATGAGCCATCGCGTGCTCGTGGCTTTATTCGTGCTGCATGGTGCAGCTCTCTATTTATTCACAACAGGTTTCTTCCTCACTCGCTTTGAAGTGTCGGATCTCAGCACTTGTCATGTATTTCCTTCAACTACAGACGTTGTTTTCCCACATCTTCGTCATGGCCATGAACCCATTATAAACTCAGCTAGCACGACTTCGAGAGACTGTTGGATGCCTCGTCGTTTTCGTCGTATCGTGTTTGTGGTAATTGACGCACTACGATTTGATTTTGCAGTCTCGGGATCAAGTACTCAATGGTCAAGTTTCTATAGTGATCGACTACCAGTTTTTAATGAGACGTTGACGAGGGAACCGGATCACGGCTTGCTGGTTAAATTCGTGGCGGATCCACCTACGATGACCATGCAACGTCTCAAGGGACTAACGACTGGATCGTTACCGACGTTTCTTGATATCAAGGACAATATGGCAGCTAGCAGTCAAATTGTTGAGGACAATTTGTTACGTCAGATGCGAGCACAACAACGTGGAGTTGTGTTTATGGGAGATGACACCTGGGACGCGCTATATGAGCGTGAGTTTACGAGGAAATATGCATTTGATTCATTCAATGTCAAAGATCTTGACTCGGTGGATCGTGGAGTCACGGCACATTTATTTCCTGAGCTGCAGATGCCGGATTGGGACTTGCTGATCGCACATTTTTTAGGAGTCGATCATGTTGGACATACACATGGACCGAGCTCTGTCTTTATGGCTGAAAAGCTAGATGAGATGAATCGCGTCTTGACACACTTGATACAGGAGTTGAAAGATATGCCAGATGGAGAAGATGTGCTGCTAGCTGTTCTAGGAGACCATGGCATGTCGGCCGATGGAAATCATGGTGGTGCTAGTGACGAAGAAACAGGTGCCGCACTCTTTCTGTATAGCAAAGCATCGCTTCTGGCTACCGGAGGAGACAGTGAGGGAGAGAATGCAAGCGAGCTCCGAAAGTATGCCGAGAAATTGCTTGACAGTTCGCGCGAAGTGCCACAAGTCGACCTTGTTCCCACTTTGGCACTACTGAGTGGCTTGCCAATCCCGTTTGGAAACCTTGGTAGTGTCATTCCGTCGCTGTTCTTCGTCCCCCCGTCTTCATTTGACAAAGACGAAAACAGCGCGTTGGCTGCATTCCAGACTCTGAATCATGCCTTGCGATTAAACCTCGATCAGGTGCGGCGTTATCTCTTTCGGTATTCGTCCGCATCCAAGTTGCCCAAGCGAGCATATGATCAGCTTGAAAAACTCTTTGAAGACATTCGACGTCTTGAAGGTCAACTTGAATCAGTACAAGGAAGCAGCAAAACGCCTGCCTACTCGAAGGCGGATCTCCCGTTGCTACTGCGTCTCCACGAAGATCTGTCTAAGCAGCAACAGAACTACCTGCGTGAAGCCCTATCGTTAGGGCGCTCCCTTTGGACGCAGTTTGACTTTTGCAGCATGGGCTGGGGCATGATGCTTCTTTCGTGGGCCTTCATCATTGGCGCTATAGCTACACGGGCTGCCAGTGCTCATTCCATCAGTGAGTCGTGGAACCCCCCATTAGGTGTTCTTGCCGGGGTGGGCAGTCTGCTCTTCCTTTGCCCAGCAAGTGTTAACCTGCCACTTCTCCCAGCAGCTCAACTTTCACGAGGACTGGTAGCAACTTCTTGCACTTGCCTAGCGAATATGACTTCACACTTTGTGTTTCGTCGACGATGCAAAGCATCTACAACCAGAACCGACGCAAGAACACTGCTGTCGTCAATTTCGGCAGTGTGGGTGGTGTCCGCAGTGATCGTAGTGCTTCATGCGCTAGCACTTCTCTCTAACAGCTACATCGTCGCGGAGGACAAAGTTATGCAATACTTGTCAGCAACCACTGGATTCTTCTTGCTCGCGTATACCCAGAGCATGGGTACCAGCCGGAATGTCGCTACAGGTGCTGCACTAGCTTTCATCTTTGCAACACGACTGAGCAGCGCGCTGGAGCCGCCCAATATTATCAAGGCATCCGCGACTCTAAGGCAAACTTTCGTTCCACTGGTTGGTATTGCTGTCCTCGCTGTTGCATCTTCCGCGCAGGCGACAAAATACACTGAACAGAAGCTGTCCCTTGCAAGCCGACTGATGCTTACATCATCGTTGGTGAGCTACTGCGCGTGCGGAATCTTTTGGGCTGCTTCACCTATCCAAATTACAATCCTGAGACTGTGGCTGCCGCGGTTCGTTTACATAATCTTCCTGGGAGCACTCAGTTGCTTACTCGCGCGTGTAGTACGGCAAACCATGCGAAAGGATCCCTGGGAGTTAACACCTGACCACTTGCTGTTGGTCTGGCAGCTCGTCCCAGCATTCATGCTAGTGCTGGGACCTACGTCTCCACTGTCGGTGTTGTGTCTTGTGGTGCAGTGTCTAAGCTTATCATTCATTGTCTCGTGTCATCAATTCACTTCCCCGACACTATTTGGAGACATAACGCCATGGGTACTGCTTTGGGCTTCGTGCTCATACCACGCATTCTTCACAACAGGCCATGCAAACACATTTACAAGTTTGCAAAACGCTGCCGGATTTGTGGGCTGTGACGTCTTCAATTTTTACGTTGCAGGGGTTCTTCTTGGCCTCAACACGTTTGGCTGCTTTGCGTTGGCCGTACTGGCGCTTCCTTGGTTAAGTTTGAAGCGACATTCTGACGAAACCACAGTCGTTCTTGCTTTCTCGGCCTATTTCTCGCTGAATGCGCTGGTATCAACCGTGTTTGTCGCGCTCCAACGAAGGCATTTAATGGTGTGGGCTATCTTCGCGCCCAAATTTATCTTCGATGGGGTGGTCCTGCTGGTCACGGAGTTGCTGCTGATTCTGCTGTATGCTCCATTTTCAAAGCATACTCAGTCAAGACACATAGACTAGAGATATATGAAAAGAATGCTTCAGGGCATTCTCGCGCGCAATGACTATCTTCATTCATTGACTTCTCGCTCTCACCGCATCGACGTAGTCATAGCATGTACAATGGCATCATTCCATTCTTCGCTGTGTACTTCATCTTTGCCCAATTCCACGGAAGAAGCTGTAACGTCGCGAATACTATTACACGAAACCATCATGCACTCACGCATGCTCGAGTCGGTAGCCGACGGCTCCTCGATATAAAATCCTTCTGTTATTGCTTCCCACGGTGGCGGCGCTAGCGGGATGCTGCTTGGGATGACGATGCCTTCGTTAGCACAAAGCGCGACAAGCTTCTTGAACGAAACTTCTCGCACGTTGCAGCTTGAGCATAACAAGCAGGAATACACCGTTAAGGGATCCTTAGCTTCTATTCGTTCGGAGTATCTAGGCGTGAGCAGCGAAAGAGCTCCACAGTTCGCACAGTTGCAGATCACGATATGGCTCTTGTACTGCTGGAGAAGACGAGCTACTAGTAATGAAAGCAAAGTCTCCAATGACGCAACTGATTCAAACTTGTAGGCAGCATCCGTTACGTTTAGAGATCCATGCGATCGTAACTTCATCGTAATGATCTTTGCTCGATTCGAGTGCATTGATGTGCCAACGGCAACGACATCAGGGAGCCACCGTGTGATAGCTATTGGGTCTTTACCATCACTGACAGTAAATCTTTCGATCAATTTTCGTGGCTGTCAAACACGAACCACACTTAGCCAACCATAGAAGATATTCTTCAGTAGCGATGATACACGTACCTTAATTTTTATGTTCGCTAGGACACCATCAATTTCAAAGTGCAGACCATGCACCGCAGACTGTTTTGCACTCAGAAGCACGCGGACGCTGATGCTTCGTTTAAATCTCTATATCGTGCATTCAAACATATTCCATAAGAATACACAGATGAATGCTATATAGTACACCACCAATTCTCGCACCTGAGAGGTTGGAATCTGCGTTTGCAAAGTCGAACGCGCAGCTATCATATCGGCATTGTCAATATCATTGCCTTCTCGCATCAGCAACTCTTCTTCCTCAAACTCTCGCATGTAGTTAGTTGTCGAATGTTTACGACTGGGCGTCCAAGTTCGTTCTGTCGAAGAGTCGTCACTGTCTTCTTCCTCTAATGTATGAAAACTCCGTTAGGCTCAATAGGGAAACCAATGTCGATAACCACTTGAAGCACGTACCAGTCATCGGAGCTTGCTCGTCACACTCTTTACGAAGTTTACTCACCTTTGACACAATGACGTTGCGCTGCGTTCTGAAGTAATCGTCAACAGTTCGGACCGATGGTCGCGTACTGCGAGAACCTTGGATGTTTCCAGGTGTCTTTACGATGCTATTTCGGTTCTCGGACTCGCCATCACCCACTTTTCGAGATTGATTGCTCATTGTTCCATATGCCGACAGCGGGTTTTGTATTTCTACAAAATGAGCAGAAACAGCTTGAGATTGAGGAAGCCGAGGGTAACTCAACACCAGCTTGGGATTCTTCACGACAATACCACTCGGCACATGAGCTCTAGGATACGCCGAGACTTTTTCCGACTGTCCCCATAGCCGTCTCTCGACAACGTTGTGCTGATTCTCGTCATCGAGCATCATCAACATACGCCGATGCTCCATGCTGCTTATCTCAGGTTCGGTCCAGCGGTGTCCGTCCAGCTCAATCGGCTCACCCAAGTAGAATAGCACTTCCCGTCGATAATCTGGCCGCCGTGCAATGGGGTTGAACTCCATCTTCAAATACATAAGTCTTGGCAGTCTCGTCAACAACTCGACTTCCGTGATATCATCAATCAAATTGTGCGAAACATCCAATCGTTCCAGTGCCTTAAGTGTCTCCAATCCCTTGAGCGACACGAGCTGATTTACTGCCAGATCCAGCTCTCTTAATCCACGTAAGGCTTGTACAGGAGGTACAAATTTCAGTTGATTATGACATAAATTAAACACCTCGAGTGATTTCGTGGTTATGTTCGAGTCAAACTTGTTAATCTTGTTCCAGCCAAGATCCAGTGTTCGAATGGCTGTCAAAAAGTTCACAGACTCATCCACGAGCTCCAAAGTACAGCAATTCATATGTAACGTCGATAGTTTTGTCCAGACCACTTTTTTCTCGTCTGGAGCGAGCAATTGAGTCAAAATTTTTGCATCCGTGTGTTCAATATGAAGTGCTTCAACTTGTTGCGCAAAATAGTGCACATGTCGCAGCCTCTGAACGTCCATATGAAGAACTTCCAGAATCCTGAGCGATGGAAAAATGTCCACTTCAATGTGACGCGAAGGTGTCTCGAAGCTCGGGACCTCCTGGACACGAAGGCGTTGGACTTCACGGAGAATCGTCGATAGTTTGAGCACTTGAAGATGCGCACTGGCTTTGACCTTAAGTTGCAGCTGTGGTTGTATCGTCCAGGCCTGTATTACACGTGATGCCGCGTCTCGCGTCGGCACGAGAACGTCATGGAGACGGCCGGCCAAAAGTGCGATTTGAGACGTACTTAAGACGAGAAAATGGTGCTCGAGGCGGGTCACATGGTGCTGTAACAATTCTTCAAGTGTCTTGAGAAATGTTTCTTCATTGAAGGCCTCATCAATCGCAAGAGGCTGCTGATCCAGTGGTGGCCATGATGTCCGATGAGGGGTCGTACCTAGTAGAGCTCGTACTTCCTGCATGGATCGATGGATGGATGATTCGATAAGTACGCAGTCTCAACACCTTTTGTTTGTGTCGTGCTGGGTTCTGAGTAAGGGGTAGGGGTAACGGAGAAGGGAAGGGGAGGAGGGGAGGAGGGAACGGTGAAGTAACACTAAGAAAAGAAACTTAAAGACCAACTTGTGATCCGCACTTAGTAGTGACCCAAGGGGAGAGAAAGAAGCTCCTTTTCGGCCACTTGTTCCGTATCCGACGTCGTCGTTTGTGCTCGTCCAGTCCATTACAGCGAGAGACAGCGAGAGAGAGCGAGAGAGAGAGAGAGAGAGAGACAGAAGACAGAGAAAGGACGGTCGAGAACAAGAACCAGCAACGGCGCAAGCGAAAAAGCGTTGGATTTAATCGTCCACCCCGACAGTCAAAAGCTTGCTGCAACTTAACGTCGCTTGACCGCACCGTGAGGAATCGTTGCCGCAACTTAAGCACTTCCTCCTTTTGTCGCCTTGCGGCCACGTGCACAATACCCAAGTTACCACACGAGCCCATTAGTCCCAGTGGACAGGAGAAGAAGTTGCACGTACGTTCAATGGATCGTGCTCCTGCTCAAGACAAGGACAGTCAAAAACGTCGTAAAAAAAGCCAAGAAACCTCGGAAACGTATCCGGAAACAATGGACGACGACGAAGTGGAACTTTTTCATATCGTCCAAGAAGATTTACGTCTGAAATCGACCGTGGGGTGGCAGAATGCTGTCAAGGTGTTGAATTCAGCCTATCAGCATTTAGAACGACCGGAGAGTCAAGGGTTTCTTGATGATGCTTTTTCCAAGATTATTAGTATCATGTTGGATCAACAGTACGTGGTCGAGTCGTGTAGGAGGAAGAGAGAGATGGGTACACACTTTTTTTTTCACTAACGGTTGGTTCTGTTTTTGTTTTATGTTGCTGCTCAGTGCGAGTAAAATTGGATCATTTGAAAAATCCTGTGTGATTCAATGTTTGTCACTGGCAATTCCATTGGTGGTTGCTCAGTTAAAAGCAGGCAAATATTTTCAAGCATTGCCGGTACTAACGATGCTGTTGAATAAGAAGAAGATGTTTTATAAAGAGACACGCACGTCGGCAATGATTGGTAGCTATTGGAATAAAGTCCCAGGATCTCCGGAAGTGCGTGCACAATGTATTGAAGCCTTTTGTGAACTCAAGGGATTCCATTTGCTACTACGTACATTGGAGCTGCTGATGCAAAACCAACAAGAGGGAGACGACCTGGAAGCTGCCATCGATAGTGAGGATATCCGTATCCTGCTGCAAGCACTATTGGAGTTTCGAACGTCAGTGCCGGAAAGCATTTGCACGAATATCTCGGTGCTCGTCATGACGTATTTCACGAAAATCTCAGATACCGTACTGAAGAAAGAGTCGAGCGACGCGGTGGGAGCCGTGATTGGTATAATTCGGAGGTTGGTGGATGCGGGAATTCTTTCATCCGAAGCCATCAATGCTTTATGGCTTGACATTACAGAGAGGTATGTGGAATCGACTTCATTGCCTCTACGACTGTTTGGCTTGGAGCAAATTAACCTGATTGTGAATTGCGCTCGAGCATCACGAGCTTTCCCTCCGCGATACTTTATCCGAAATGCTGGTACTGCTGCCATCAATGGCGTGTACATATTGAAGGCCAACTCGAACTCGGCAACTTACGTATTCCGACAGCCTGAAACGGGCCAAGTGTTTACGCTCTTTTGCTGCACTATGAAAAGTGGTTTGAAGTGGTGGTTTATCTCGGAGGCCGATAAGATGCAGCCTGGATCTGACCAAGATATTGATTATTATCAGCACCAGTCACAGTACGAAGAGTACTTGCCCCCAACGCACAACTGGATCCCTACAGGAAAAGGAGAGGCTCCAGCTCCCGAACTCGTAGCGGAAACCGTTCAGGAAAATGGCGAAGAAGATCTTACTCGACTGGACAATATATTGAGTGCTTGGGTGGTAAAAAAGAAGATTCTCGAGGAGATTTTTGGTGACAGAATCCATCGTGAGATTGTATCGCGCAGTGCGTTGCTGGTGAAGTTTTTGGCAGAGTCGAACAAGTTGGATACGCACTCTATTGACGTGATTTGGCAGTCTTGTATCCAGAAGGACCAAACGTTGGTGCATGAAATCCACAATTTACTGATCACGACGGTACCGTTTTTATCGAATGAGCTGCTATTGCACCTCGTGCGAAGTATTCATGCCTCGCTATTGCGAAGCTTGGAAAAGAACGAACCTTTTCCAGAGCTGATTTCGTTCTTACAACGGCTGGCAACTAACTCTCCGAGTTTTCTTATGGAGCGCAATGTGAACGTCACGACAGCAATCTTGCAGCTGCTCTGGTCGATTCAAATGCACTGTAGTATTGCGAGCATTCGATTAAGCAGAAGTTTGCGTGATTTCTTTCAAGAAGGGTTACGAAGCGAATACGGAGAGCCGCTCCGAAAGGCGTTCTTGAATGAATGTATCAATGGAATTAAGAAGTCCTGCTCGTTATCAAACTCGGCACCTGATTCTATAGTATCGCCGCCCTCTACTATGATTCCCCCAGCTCCTGGCAGCAGCAGCTCAGTTATGACTTCTTCGTCTGTTACATCGACGGAATTGAGTAGCAAGGATTCAACAGCCTCGAAGTCGTTAGAGCTTCTTAAGTTTTTGATCGACTCTTACCGAATGGATCAGGCGTTCGTGGTGGAATCACTTAATTTAGAGCACGGTTTGGTGAGCTTATTGTTTGACGAGCTTGCGACTTTTGTCGCACGACGAACCGACAAGCAGTCTCCGAGCTATCGCACTGCCATTGGCCATCGCCTGGAATTGATACACTATGTTCACGTGAAGTCACCGAAGCTAGAACTGTCGGTCCCGCAGATTGAGCGTCTGTGGAAGGTGCTCTCATCTTCACCTGCTGAGCGCGAATTCTGTTTGATATTTTTCAACCAGACGAGCATACGCGGCGGACACCAACAAGGTGGAACAAGCACAGTCGATGGATCGATTAGCTCAGCCTTTAACTTGGACGTATGCTTCTACGTTTTTAATGAGCTGTTGTGTAAACAAACTGACTTCCGAACACTAGGATCGATGGGCTACAAGTGTTTTGACACATACTTTGTGGGACTAAACGCGCAACAAAAACTGATGCAGCGCACCGAGGTATGTTTGGAAACCAAGACGCTGAATCTGCTTGGAATGGATGCTCTGTGGCGTATTGCATTTGAAGCTCCTCTTGAAGTCGCTGAAATGGCTACACGGGAGTTGCTTCGTGTTTATGAGCGATCGTCCGCTGAGCTGAGCCCCGAGAGTGAAGGCGAATCTGATGACGAAGGTGTGAAAGATTTTTTGTCTCGTGTATTTAAACAGCTATCTACGGTGAAGGACAGCTCACCGGACTCACTGAAATTAGTGCAGCAATGCTCAAATCTTTTGACAGGGCTGGTGTCTAGTTCTCGCAAAAAGCATACGTTTGTTCCACATGGTCTAAGTGGTCGCGGCGCGTACTTCACAGTCAAGGTGATAGCCCAACGAATTCCTTCATCGAACACGACCGGGATAGGAGCTTCTGCGACAGCAGCTTCAAGTCACGACAATGCGGTCCGCACAATGCAAGCATCTGCGTACTCCAACCAGACGCTGTGGCTGTTCCGCAAACAAATCGAGAAGTTAGTAAATCATCCTATGCAGCAGACGAAGATTCTTTCGTCTGGGTCGGCGATCACAGGAGATCAAAAAACGCTTGCTGACTTGCAGATCACGGAGTCGAGTGAAGTGCGCGTACTGATGTTCAACTCGATTGTGCACCGTTCAAGTCTCAGTGTGATGGACCAGGATCCCTTAATGATTTCGACGGGCAAGGGGTCGCCTTCTTCTTGTGTGGCTTCCTCGTCCAAGCACCACCCTGGTTTAGTGATTGCTAGTGATACTTCTTATTTTGAAGTACTTTTTCGTGTGCTTGACATTGTGGAGGGACATTCTGTCCACGAGTTGCTTTGGGCTTTTTTAAAGCAAATCCCCACTAGTGAGGAGCTGTTGAACCGTGTTTCCAACATTGGTACGGCTGCGACGAGCGATGGAGATGTGAATATGAGCTTCCCGTCAGATCAGCCCGCTAACGAAGGAACCAAACCTGATTGGTCATCTTTGGTGAAAGGAATATCGTCCCATCAGGCTATATACACTCTCCAAATTATGGATGCGCTGCTACTACCTTCGGACGTCGCTAAGATCCCGTTTGCTCAGACGTATCTCCAGCGCTTCATTTCTGGAGGTGGATTTCACGAAGTGTTATCTTATTTTATAGGTGCAAACTTCCACGAGAGCTCCTTTAATGAAGGTGCTGCAGTGGCTCTTCGTATCCTGAAGTTTTGCCTGTTCGATTCGGGCCATGACAATGGACTATATTCGGCGACTGTGAACGGAGAACCTCCGGATGATGTGCTTTATGGTAAGGGCTCGGTGACTACTGACCATGACAAGGGCGTCGATGCGGAAACGCCTAGGACGAAAATCGTTGTGGAGCAGAGTCGATATGATCAGTTGGTACTGAAGATCGCGGAGCTCGTGGGGTCTGAGTACGCGCGAGTCGAGGAGAAAGCTCCTGCTGACAAGACTGCGTACCGCATTTTTATTGATGCGGTGAAGACCGTAGAGTCGATTGTGTCCATTGCTCATGATGCAGCAGCCAAGTACATCAAGGCGCTAGAGCCACGTGCTATCGTTGCCAATATTTTCATGAAGTTCGAGTCAGACCAAGTCCGGGAACAGTGGCTCTCATCACTGGAATCCGTATGTAAGGCGTCCGATGCAGCAGCTGAAGTGGTATTTGAGGAATGCATCCAGTCCGTCGATCGTATCGAGAGCGTGACAGCACCGTGCGATCAGTACACACGCATGATTTGCGCTTTGGCGCGTCTTGAAGGCGGCAATTCATCTTCGTATTGCCAAAAGCTTGCCCAGGCTGTGGTAGCAAAATTACGTCGCGGCTTTTCAAGCAAGTTCCTAGCCTGCAATGAGCGGTCAGGCGAAGTACTAATCGGGTTTTTGGAGTTTTTACGCGAAGTGCTGGTGGTACACGCTGATGTGCGAGCTGAAATTGCCTGCGAAATTGTAGACGTCGTCTACGATGAATGTTTGTTCACTTTACCTTCTGAAGATAGACGTGGCTGCCCGCTGTGCTTGTCGTTGGAGACGAGACGTCCTGCGTTTAAGCTGCTAGCGAGCGCAATTTCCTCGGACGCCAGTATCTTGCATGACTTGCGTGGCCGCCTTATCAGACTGTTTACACGAAGTGATGCTTTGCGATTTAAGTGGGGTCAGGAGAACAACATTGAAACACGTGGCAACGGCGAACACGTCGGACTAAAAAATCAAGGCTGCTCGTGCTATATGAATTCCTTCTTGCAGCAGTTGTTCATGCATCCCACACTGCGCCAAGGACTATTGGGTGCCAAGGTGGACCTCCGCCCCACCCCTCAAGAACCCACAAAGGCAGAGGCAGAAACCTTTCCAGAACGCTTGGTAGGCTGCCGTGTGGCGCTGGAATGTCTTGGGGGCCGTGTATACGAAGCACATGTTGTGGGATACGACGAAATGTCTGGCCAGCACACGATGCGATATGAAAATGGAGGCGAGGCAAGTTTCGTGTTGGCAGAGGGGCGACCAGGAAACGAAAATGGCCGTTATGTGATTTTGCAGCCGGAGTTGACGGGCACTGACGCGACGTTGGAAGTTCTTCGTCAGCTTCAGCGCACATTTTGCTACTTGCGTGACAGTGAAATGCGCTATTTCAATCCGAAGGCATTTGTTGACTCATGCACATGCCTAAACCTGGAGTTTTCGGTCTACCAGCAGAATGACGCGACCGAATTTTGTGACAAACTGTTGGATCGATTAGAGACGGGTCTTAAGACGACACCCCAGGGCACGAGATGTCTGCAAGACGTGCTTGGCGGCAAGCTTATATCTCAAAAGCTTCCGAAAGATTGTGGACACCGATACGAACGTGAAGAACCATTTATTCGATTAGAATTGCAGATTCGCGGGAAGGAAAGCATCGAAGAATCGCTCTCAGCTTTCGTTGAAGGGGAGCTCATGGACGGCGACAACAAAGTGGAATGTGAGCTTTGTGCTACAAAAAAGGCTGCCGTGCGACGCACGTGCTTTGGATCGCTACCAAACCTGCTAATTCTTCATTTAAAGCGTTTTGATCTGGACTACACGACGTTCGAGACAGTAAAGTTGAACAATCGCTGTTCATTTCCGATGCGTCTAAGCATGAAACCGTACACAAAGGCAGGTATCGAAGAGCAGGAAGCTCGCTCTAACTTGCAACAAGAGCGCGAAGAAACGTCGACTGATGAGGACATGGCCTCTGATGACTCAAGCAGCTCGGATGAGTTCATCACCGACGTTAACAGTGATGCGTCAGTGGTTCCAGCTTCAGCGTCACCGAAGTCAAGTGTCAAACTTGCTGCTTCACCACGAAGCACGACTGGTGAAACCAGCGTCGGAGACGATGAGAGGAGAAGCGTCAAGTCGGATCCTAACTACGAATACCGCCTGAAGGGCGTTTTGGTGCACTCTGGTGTAGCTCAAGGCGGCCACTATTATTCATTTATTTACGACCATATGTCTGAAAAGTGGTTCAAGTATGACGACGAAGACGTGACACCATTTGACCCTGCTAACATTGAGGCTGAGTGTTTTGGGGGAGTCCAGCGACGCTCATGGCACGGATCAAACAACTCTATGGAGATGGAAGTTTTTAGCAATGCACTTATGCTCTATTACGAGAAAGTTATCCCCGTCAAACCGGCGCCGGTATTAGTTACTAAGACCGAGACTGAGTCTGGGGCTCCTATGGACATTGTTGTTGCTGCTCCTGATGAAGAACACTGCGAGTACGAAGCAGAAGTTTGGAAGTCTAATGAGGTATTCCTGCAAAACTCGTACCTGTTTGATGTGGAATTTCACGAGTTTCTGCGCGAGATGGTGCAGTCCCAGTACATTAAAGCCACCCAAGTCCCAGCCACGGAAGAGAATGTACTAATGACTTTGCCACCTGCGCCGCAGCCATGCGATGGTGTGGTTCCGCCGGCTACACTGGTAGCACCAGCTGTCCCATCAGCACGAGCCGACGACGAAATCCAAATGACACTAATGGAAATCGGAGCTGAGTTCGTTCTGAGTGTGCTATTGCATTCACGTGAAAAACACGGAATTGCGCGATGGATTACTGTGCTTGCATCCAAGTTCACGCGGTCCAAAACTATCTGTGTACGCTTTTTCTCGGCGCTATCGGCGTCAAAGCGAGTTTCGTGGTTGCGTGGATTGCTATTCGAGTGCCCAGACTCGATTGCGCGCCAGTCGTTTGTGCACCTAGTATCTCGAGCACTTACGGCGTACGAGGCTCACATGAAGGAGGAGCAAGCTGCGCTGGATGAAGCGAGTGCTGAAGCAGCGGCAGCTGCTGATACAGCAGTCATTCGTGCGTTTGTGGAGGCTATCTCTTCGTTTCTGGATCAGACATCCGTGATGCAGCAGTCCCATTTGGAGGAGTGTTTTCTGCTCATACGTAACATTGCTGAAATCAGTGTCACGGCGCGTACTCAATTGCAACAGGTTGAGATGATTGCACGCTTAATCAACTTCTTCCTATGCGAGCGGGGCCCGAGTGCGTTGAAAGATGCATTTCCATCCTCGAAGTTGCAACCGACGGCTTCACGGTATGCGTCGCCGGACTACCAGTATCTGCTTGAGGCTGTTATTGCAGTGTTAGGACTACCTAGGCGTACAACGGAACCTTTGCTCACGGAGAGTAGCACGCAGTATCCGCACCGCACCATTCTGTCAGAGAAAGCCGAGCACGCGCTGACAGAAATTTTTGAGGACTACCAGAAACCGGGAGGCGCGGACGAAAACCCAGGCTTGGGTCTTGAAGAGCTCAAAAAGTACTTCTCCGTATCACTCAGCAGTGCTGTGAACAGCCCAGCTGTTGAACAGCAGGCTCGGAGTATGCTAGCGAAATACGGTACGCCAACCGATGTCACAGCAAAGGACGATGTTGGAGTAAGTGCTTCACGCGTTGAGCTTGATGGGTTCATGCTGTTCTATACGGACGTGGCAGCATCATCGACAAAGTCAGTGCTACAGGATCTTCGTGCTTTCGGCTTCAGTGAAGATCTCCGGCGTCATTCATCGAGCGAGGATTTACCCACTGGGACTCAAGTTCTTGAGAGTTTGAGTGCCCTGAGTCGCGGAGCGTTGCTAAACGATGTCTTCTTTGACTCGGCTCTCGAGGAAGAGGCAGAAAGCACATCGGAGCTGCTGCTACGGTTAAGTTTGGGAGATAAGGACACATCTAAGCGCCTGTTGCGTGCTCTTCTGCACTGCCTCCAGAGCACCGAGACGGGATGGAAGGGGCAACCCGTTGTCGACGCTTGCGCGCTAGCGGTGCAGCGTGTGCTGGGCTATGAATGTGCATACCAGAGAGAACTCGTGGAGCTGGCGCTGGCTCACAGCGAATATGGCTTGCTTAGTTCCGCGCGAAGCCGCGAGAATTCACGCTCACGATATGCAAATACCACGCATGTTCCGCTTTTCGTGTACCGGCAACTGGTTCTAGTGCTGGAGCTGCGTGCACGTGTGCCTGCCGTGCGTGCTTGGTTAGATGAGCATCGGAGCGAGTGGGAGTGGTTATACGAGTGGCTACGTCTCGAGTCGCTTCAACCTACCCTGGGTGGACGTTTGCCGTCACTGAGACGCGAGCTAGCGAAACAGGAAATGCTGTGGCGGGTGAGCGAAGCATTGAGCATCCCATACCAGGAGGAACAGCGGCGATATGTGGTAGAGGGCGCCGGATATGCCCCCGTCAATGGTGTGTACGTTAGCACATCTCACATCCACGATAACTGCTTGACGTACGTTTGCGCGAAGAGCGACATTGAGTACACGCTTTTTCGATGCTGCATGCCTAGCAAGGCACGACGCTGGTACATTTCGTACTCTCCGAACAAGAACCTGCTCGGCACGATGTCGGATGAAGACTTTTACTTTGTACAGTCGCACATTGATGACGAGTCTCCGCCAGTAGATGGCTGGAAGGTGTGGGTCAAGAACGAAAAGGCTAAGCCTCCCGTTCCAACGGTTCGTCTTTATAGCTCTACAGTTGCCGCACTAGATGGCGAAGGAGACGCTGCAGATGCATCTGACTCGGTCGATGGTTACGTGGCGGCTAGATGTGGTTTCCCCCAGCACGAGGAGGGACCGAGTGCTCCGATCGCGCCGTCAAGTGACATGGTCGTAGAGACTGTGGATGTGGACGCGGACGTCGAGACGGTGGAGTACGACGACAGTGAGGACGAGATTCGTGATAGCAACGAGCGTTTTCGAGCGGTGCATTTGGATACACAGGAAGACGGCAGTGGAACGGATGACTTCATGTAAGTAAGCAAACTCAAATGAGAGTAACATTATGTAGCCTTTTGCCTTTATCCCGACCGCACAATTGGGCCGGTGGGATCTCTTGGCAGGATGTGAGTGAAGAAGCTGTTGGTGAAGATTGATAATGAAGAATTGACATTGAAACTCTGCACAAGATGATGGGACGGACGTCTTGGAGCACATTTGTCCAAGTCGAAACTATTTGTATCTACTTTCTGGAATCGACCTGCAGCATCATTAGCAAATACCATGAATACGTCCTTCCTTATCCATGAACGAAGGACCATTGACTGGGACAAAGGTTGATTGATTGACTCCATGCAGATCACGGGCAAATATTGCTAAAAAAATGTCAATGATAGGTCATGATGGTGAGTGGAGCTCACGTAGAAAAGTTCATTGAATGTAGTCACCATTCGTCGTGTTTCTGCTCCATGCTCTTTGACACTAATGGGGGGAGACAAGTCTATCGGGCAGACAGGTACGAAGCCTTTTCAAGACAAGAAAGGAGGAGACATAGCCGTCTTCTCAATCCTACTGCCTTTGAAACGACTACCCGAGCCACATTCGAAAGCTTGGGTAGTGCATCCTTTGTGATATTGATTGGACTGGGGCACAGCAATAGTAGAAACGACCATGGCGGCAAAACCACGCTTGCGACCGCATGACATCATCCCGAGATATCATCTGCATTGTCTACAACAAAGGAGGCAGAGCTTGTCGAAAAATCTGAGCGTTCGCATCATCATTTGTGCGGCTCAATTTCGAGGATCGGGACCAGTCACTGGCGCTCAACGCGTGCGTAGCAAAATTTCAAAAAAGCACGTCTGTTAAGCACGGGCTTTGACGATCATCGTTCCGGCATTCATCGGATGTGCGCGCTCTGCACATCCGGAGCCGACAGAGTTCAGGTTCTGGAGCGGTGCAACACTGGACAAAACCTTGATTCAGCTGTCAGCTCCGTGGGTTGGACGATGTTTCAATTTTTTCAGCGTAGTATTGCTGGGATACGATATCGCTCTACATGCCCATGCAAAGCCACTTGTTGCATCTGTCGCTCGTCTTTGGCTCGGTCGTGACGACATAGTTCCGTTGACCATAGAGGTGCACGACGAGATTTAGCCAAGTCGGCTATAGTTGTACCCTTGTGTTAAAAGCAATGGGACGAACATCCAGTCTTTGACGACAGCGAAAAAAACGGCTGCACCTCGAGTGATGGAGCTCCAGTGCTCCGAGCCGACACCAACAAATTTATAACAGCACAACGCAATTTGCTGTCAACGTCACAGCTCAGTCACAAGAACCACTTCTCCTGAAGTTACAAGACAGCTCAAAGCTCACCCACCACCTCAGTGAATCAAAGATATCTCCTACAAAGAGCGACCGACTTTCGTTTGCGACTTGACCTCACTGCCTGCACCAACACTTCATTGTTTCAGCCTCCACTCCACATATCAGCAACCAACCAAGCTTCAGCTTGTGTCCTACGTAGCAGTATTTACCTGTCAACCCTTTAGATTGAGGCGAGACCGACATGGCTGATCAGATGGATCAATTCCCGCAGGTGCCACCACCAGGAACGAGTCCACGAACCAGCAACTCCTGGAGCCGCTGCGACCAAGCTGTGGCCCGTGTCGCCCCCATCGCCACTACTATCTGCCAGGTCTGCTCCAAATGCATTGCCAAGGATGAGTGGCAACTTGGTCTCATGTTTATCCACGTCGAAGGCTTAATGCTCATGGAATGGCATCACTTGCACTGTTTCAAGTCGCTGCAGGGTAGTGGTCTGTCTGATGTCTTTGAAACTGTGCAGATCGAGATGACTCCGGCCCAGAAGAAGGATTTCCAGTTGGCTTGCCAAAAGGCAGCACTCTCATAACCAGCACGTCTCGTTGCTCACTTGAGCTCCTCAATGTCGAGTGTCGTCAAAGTATCAAAGTAGAAGCACGTACTCGTTAAGAGCAGAGTAGTTGGACGGCTTGAGTGAGGCAGGAATACGGAGAAAGTTGCCCACCACCTCCATGGATAGAAGAAACAACCAGTACTAGATCAAATCAACGTATCGGGAATGACAGTATGATCGATGTGCTTGCTACTTGTCAAAAGGTTTGATGCATGTTTTGCATGGATGCAGCTGAACGACCACCACGTCACTCCTCTTGAAACAATCTCAAAGCAATTCGAGAGAGATTCAATGGCAACAGCTCCATCTCTGTCTACACTATAGGGTCCTTCCAGCTGATCCGACGCAGTCACAAAGTACGCGTCCAAGCCATTAGGCTTTTCGATCCGTTCACGCGTGAATGTGGGGCATGAACGCTGTTGCTCGCAACTTACCGTGTATCTTCTGCGCATGAGCCATTCCTTCATGATAATTGCTATGTACCTTGCAATGCGTGACTATGTCTGCTCAGGTGCAACTTTTTCTGAGCTTTACACGCCACGTCTGTGCTAGTTTCTGCAGATGTACTTCACGAGAGACACGTGATCGTGTCATTCATTATTCGAGTGATTTGTAGGAATCATACCCGTTTGCTTACGTGGAATTTACTAGGAAGGCACGCAAAGCATTTCATCAACGAAGGTCTCACAATTGAACAAGAGAGATGTACTTACTTACTTGTAACTCCTGTTTGACAACTTTTGAATTATAACCGACAAAGCAGCAGCTATTCTTGCTTCATATATTTCCGTTGCATCACACTTGACGTGACAGTGCCAGTCTACTTGACCTCGTTCACCAGTTCCTCCTTTGCCTCATACGCCTTGATATTTTCCATCGTAGTGCGACCAATGTTGTACAACGCTTCCTTCGTAAAAAACGCTTGGTGACCAGTGATAACCACGTTTGGGAACGTAAACAGTCGAGCAAGAGTCTCATCGGCAATGATAGTACCTGAGTGATCTGAGTAGAAATACTCCCCCTCGCCCTCAAACACATCCAGACCGACCGAACCAATCTTGCCGCTCTTTAAGCCGTTTACCAACGCCTTCGTGTCAATGAGACCACCACGACTCGTATTGATAATCATAACACCATGCTTCATCTTCAAAATGCTGTTTGAATTGATCACATGTTTCGTCGACGAAAGCAGCGGACAATGCAGTGAAATAATGTCCGACCGAGTCCAAATGTCATCCAAACTGACATACTCGACCCCATAACTAAGAGCTTCGGGACTTTGCTTGACATCATAAGCAAGAACTTTGCAGCCAAAACCTGCAGCAATCCGCACAAAGAGAGCACCAATTTTTCCCGTCCCGACCACCCCAATGGTTTTTCCATTGAGATCAAAGCCTAATAGACCTTCCAAACGGAAATTCTGCTCCCGTGTCCGATTGTACGAGCGATGAATCTTACGATTTAGTGTCATTATCAAAGCTGTCGCATATTCAGCAACAGCATGTGGGGAGTAAGCTGGAACACGAAGAAGTACCATTCCAAGCTCCTTGGCCGTCGTTAGATCAATCATATCGTAGCCTGCACAACGTAGAAGCATCACTTTTGTCCCACCAGCAGCCAGCACACGTAAAACGGTTTCGTCGGCAATATCATTGACAAAAATGCACACGCCTTCATAGCCTTGAGCTAATTTTGCAGCATTGGCATCGAGACGTGAGCTAAAGAACTTTAATTCATGGGTTGGGGTGACATTCTCTTCCTTTGCAATGGTTTCCATTGATTCAATTTCATAACTATGAGCTGAGAAGAAGGCGATCTTCATGAGGAGTAGACCAAGAAGGTTCAGGCTTTTAGAGAGCAAATTGAAGACTGACCAAGTGGGAGTTCTTCTTCGACGGTTGTGACGAAATAAATAACTTCGACTGAAATAAATAACTTGCGACATATCTTTTGACAAATAGTGACCCAGTTCTAAAACCACTACTAATTACCAGCTCGATTACTTAAATACATGCAACGCCATTTAACTGTATTTCCCTTTGAAAACAAATGCCGCGAGACGAGCTGCCTATGGTTCATCTACTCCTGCAGCGACAGAGGGGCCACCCAGTATTAGAAGGATGTCCAACGGCTGCAGATATTGGAGACTTGTCTTTGTTTCTTGGGGCAGCAGGCGCTGCGCAAGTGCGTGCTGCTTCATATCAGTCCAGGAAGTGACTGATTTCTGTATTAACGCTTCTCATACTGTACAGGACGCAACATTTCTAAAAGCAAACAATATTCAAGCAGTTATTGCCGTGGGCACTGGCAATCTGATTGTGAAGGTTTCTAAATATTGCTAGCAAACAATTATTGCAATGTTTTTATCAATTTAATTGGCCAGATGTATTGAAATGATTGTTACAGCCATGTGACGTATTGCTGATTGATATCCTCGACATGGAAGACGAACTTCTCTTGCCTTATTTTAATAAGTGTATCCACTTTATAAAAAAGCATTTGATGCGTGAGACATCGGTGCTTGTACATTGTGTATACGGTCAGTCACGCAGTGCTGCTGTCTGTGTCGCTTATCTAATGGCTACACAGGACAAAACACTCCTTGAAGCATATGATGTTGTGCAACAAGCTCGACAATGTATCTCTATAAATCCTGGTTTCTTACGACAACTGGAATTGTTTGAGAGAATGGGAAATGATCCGGAGGTTATGGGCAGTACATCTGCTCATGCCGAATTGAGAACAATGATGGTACGACGACAGCGAATGCAGACAGGAGTAGCAGATATTGTTGCAGTCCCACAACTCACGCGGCCAGGTACATCGATATGCTGCCGAAAATGTAACTACCTGCTGTGTACGACGAGGAATCAGGTGCAATGGAGCTTATGTTTGAGTTATTGACTCTGTTGTTGGGAGCTGATAAAGGTCGTTAATATGCTGTTGGATGCAGTTACCACATTTGGCCCCGGGTGAAGCAACCAGCCGAAAATTTTGTGCCGGAATTTTTATTGAACCGATGGTATGGATGATGACTCTGTCTAGCTTCATCAGCAATAACAACGGCAAGTTACTCTGTCCGTCATGCAAAGCTAAACTTGGCTCGTGGAATTGGCTCGGTGTCAAGTACGTTGTTCACGGCAATATTCTCGTGGATTCGTAGGACCGAACGACTTACAAACTCTTGTGCTACAATTCAGATGCAACTGCAAACGTTTCGTCACCCCAGCGTTTCAATTGGTTCCGAGTAGAACGCAGGAGCGTGCGCTATAGTTGCGAGACAAAACTGACAATATCCATATCAATCTATATTGAAGGTATATTGGCGTGAGTCTACATGGCAGCAGCGATGTTGTTACAGCTGCATCGCTGAGTTGCAATCATCAAAACTTGAGCTGACCTTGAAGCATTAAATGCCCTTGTTATACGTGACGACACGCACAGGTTGGCCATCCTGCTTACGCGTAGCCTGCTGCAGCCCTGACTCTAGGTACTTGGAGTCGAGTTGTGCAGTCTGGCGGAACAGTCCGAATGTCAGTGGCACTGAAAACTGAATTGCACAGCCTACAAGTCCCAGTAGAGTAGGAACACGCAGCCACCGTGTCGTTGGTCGCGTGAACAACATGCTGTGCTTTTCAATCCCTGAGATCACCAGTGGTGGAAGTAGTAAGATAGGTGCAGCTGCAAAGATCCTCCCCGTCACGCATGAAGCGACTGCTAGTGCTCCACACCTCTTCGACTTGCCCACGTGGTCTCCGTTCTCGTCGTACACGTGAACTCCATTACGATACTCGCTTTGTCTCATGACTGCCATATTGATTAAGTCAGCAGCAGCGACAGCAGCAAACGGCCCCATACGAGCAACAGCAGGCGCCCACTTGCCACCCTTCATTCGACCGACCAAGCGTCGGATACCGAGAGATGCACCTACTGAACTGGCTGTAGCACCCACGTACGCTACAAGACGCTGTTGTGCCGTGTCCTCATTCGAGGCGTTGCGATTAGCGTAATAGTGCAATGCATTGTACGTCTGGTTTAACCACTGAGCGAAGATAGTGGTCCTGGTACTGTTGGCCAACAGCATGGCACCGTCCATGATCATGTTCATGGGCACGATCATAGACGCACGTAGCGGTGTGAAGACGGGCAGACCCGTGTCGGGGTGAAGGATCGCGTTTGTCACGTACTGGGCATGCTCAAGCTTCATGGGATCTACAAATTCTCCACGGCGATGCATCGACACGTGTTGCTTTGCATCCTGCAGCGCCTTTTCCGTCGTGAAAGCTGTGCGGAAGTCCAGCATGTAAAACGTCTTATGTACGCGTCCAAAGTACGTGTTTTCATTTGGATCTACTAGCTTAATGTGGGTCTCTGGAATGTTCAAAAGATCGTTCTTGTCTGTCATGGCGCGGATTAAGAAATGAGCTTTCGTCGCTCGCCGTCATAGCAGCCCAACTTCAAGGCGATGTTTGTGTAAAATTGTGTGCGTGTTGTCGACGTCTGTGACGTGGTGCGCTCCGTGTCAAGCTTTCAACGTTAATTCTCTACCTACTTGGCAGCTAATTATAAGAGCTTTGACTTACTGAATCTTCTTTGCTGCAGGCTTGTTGGTGCTTTGTAGCAGGTAGCGCTCGATGAAAAACTTGAGAAATAGGGCAAAGTAACTCGAGTACATAATAATACCCCATTTGAGGTTGTCCGGGTCCACGCTGCAAGTGACGCCTTGCTTCATGTAGTACACGTTAAGACCGCATACGGCGACACCCACGCCCATTTGGCTCAGTTGAAAGATTGTCACGAGACGCGCCCAGGGTGGTCGGTAGCCGCACGCCGTGAGGAAGTAGTAGAAGTACATGATGGCGTGCACCGAGTAGTTCATGGCTACAAAGTAGATGCCGCTGTAAATCCATTGAGCAGCAATACACCAAGAAAAGATCAGTACAAGATACTCGCAATTGATTCAGACCCTGCACTACCAATGGCTTTACTCACCTAGCTGAGAGTGTTGCAAAGGCATGCCAGCAGAAGAGAAGCACTGTGACGTGGTGATACCAGTGCAGGAAGATGAGCGGTTTCTTGCGAAGCACGATAAAAGCCGTGTCCAAGAGCTCGGGAACTTTGGAGAAAATGAAAAGCAGCACCCAGAGCGCTACGGGTCCTCGACCATAGTGCAACGTGGGCGGAGCGCACACCGAGTGGTACACACCGCGGCGGTACATAGTATTGATAAGGAAGGGCACCGTTCTGAAGGCGCCGATGGCGCTGAACATGGCCAGCCCTAAGTTCCAGAGTGCTAGCGCACTGAATAACAAAAGAAAATAGTGGATGCATCATCGGTTCATGCTCACAAAACATCTCCCAGAATGAGAGTAAGGAAGGAACTACGTACACTTTTAGGTTGAAGGGCTTGAGGTCTCGCATGATACGGCGGCCAGCAAAGCATAGAAAACAGTAAGCAGCGCTGAGAGAGACGACCATCAGCAGCGAGTCTTTACAAAAGTCAAGTTCCCATGATACCTCCTGGAAAGAGGAATCGCAACACACAGCAACTGTCAGCCCGTTAAGACAAACTATACTGCACCACCGGCAAAACACACCCAATCGCGCTCGTACTGGAACGGAAACATCCAGCTCAGCGCCGGCACCTCATCGTGCAGCTTGGGTGTGTGGACAAACGTTTCCATTCAATTTAACGTTTTCTTTCTAAGATATTATCTCGTCTTCGTGGGTTTTGATGTCTTTTGAGTTGTTTGCGACGTTTGGTCGAGTCCGGTCGCTGTCACCTTGTCTGCTTTTGTGTTAACAGAAATTTCCGAAACAATGTGGACGTTACGGGACTCAACAAAACCCACAACATGTCAACTTTTTACAAAGAAGGGAGAGTCACACAAAGACGTCAGCCTTGCTGATTGATTTCAAGTTGTTGTGTCCATATTTCGAAAAACAAGTACTTGATTACTTGCATTTAGAGAATAAGAATGACTTATAAGCCATTGTAGAGCTACTACAGATGGATGCGGTGGTCGTAACGCGCAAGTCCTAAACCCTGTCTCGTGTAACTCCAATGTCGAGACTAGGGGTTTAGGTTACGGGACATGAGATCTGACAGTTTGTTTACGCTCTCAATTTGATGACTCCACTCTGTATGCGCCACGCAACGGGTGAGCACCAGCACTAGAGGTGGTACCCAGACTCAGACTCAGTGGGTAATTACCCATACCCAGACTCATGGGTTGGGTATGGGTAATTGGCTTTAATTAACCACCTTACCCATGGGTACCCATGGGTAAATGTACCAAATTTATAAGGCATACATCAGACACACCTGCTCGTATTATTTATATAATTGTTAAATGTATTGGTGACTCATTACGCCTTTTTGGTGAAAGTCTACCGCACATATGATGCAAAGCAACTGGAGCCGGTGGCGCAGGCCATGCTAAGCAAACTCAAGAAATATATATCAAGCTGGCGTTTAAACAGGATGCAAACTTCTTTGCAACGGTGTTAGATCCAAGATGGAATATCAGCTGGTTCAAAAACCTCGACGAAGGGCCAAAGCAATTTTGGGCTCTTGGCCATAGCTCACAAGCATATTGAGTTGCTTTTTGTGGATGCAGCATACAGTCATCAGAAGTCATTAGAAAAAAACCCGCCTCCGCCACCTGTCAACATTAGTAACGTATGAGCGATGACGACATGGAGCCAGACGTCTTCGCATTTGTTGAAGGCAGAGTTCTAAGACCGCAGTGAGCAAAGTCGAGGAAAATAGCTCAAAATTATTTTGCTCTTTCGCCTGTTCACATACACTAATTGCCATTGGAGTGGTGAGCACTGCATCAGCTGCAATTCCCGACACTTGCAAGGATGGCAAGATTTTATCTGGCCCGCGTCTTCAACTCCGTTTGAGAGAGGTTTCTCTCAAGGTAAAAAGACTTACAGGTAGAACAGAACTTCGCTTTCCCCTCAAAAGCTTGGAAAGGCTTCTGTACTTCAAGGATTGGATAAGGACACAGAGTCACGTTTTTTTGTCGGCAAGGGATTAGATTTTTCCTTTGTCAGCTCGCTTGAACTTCCCAGTGGGAGACGTAGAGTGTGGATACTTTTATTACCAATTTCCATAATGCTTTTCTCCCTTCCATATTATTTAATAGTCCGCATGTTTATTGCGCGGGTAACATGGGTAATTACCCGCGGGTATGAGTCCAAGTCGTGGGTAATGAAATTTGAATGAGTCTGAGTCGTGGGTAAACGCAATTACCCAACCCAGACTCATGGGTACCACCTCTAACCAGCACTTCAAATTATTTTTATAATTGATTATAAATAATTTAAAATAAGAAATCACAAATCTTAGACTTTAATTATAAGCTCAGAGCATTTCATATAGTTTAGTGCAAATTTTACATGTAATTTATTATTGCAAAATAATTATTGATGGATTTGCATAAAATGAATATAAACATAAATTTAAATAATTCTAGTCTTTATACAAAAAACTTGAATTTCTGTAAGAAAGGGATATATAGACCATAACAATAAATTTGAAGACTATGATTTAGCCATTCAAGTATTCTATTTAAAATTTCGAAGAATGTTTAAAAATCTCTTCCAACACAGGGGACCCTACGACTACCTTGTTATGACTTTATTGAACTGTGGTCAATTGTGCTTGTTCGCTAGCGGTGTGGCTAGCTGTAGAGATAACGTCGGTGACGCTGTGATAAAAGGATTCTGACATTGTTTATTGTGTTATTCTTGCTACTATGATGGACTAGCTGTTCTTGTTCTTCATTACTCTTGTACACTCAATCAGCCATCCACGCTTTTGGCCACTCAATCGCCCATCCATCGCTCACGTTCGAACTATTGCTAAACTAATCGCTCTACACCTGGCTCAGTCGTCACCCGTTACTTCAACCGTTACGCATGAATGCCTATTTCTTACACTCCTCCTCGGCTACAACTTGCCGCTTTAAGCGAGCGGAACAGGTGGGTCTTGACGGATCATCCGTCAGACCCTTGATGAACACAGTAACCTGCTTGTGTTCATCTATCTGGTTGGACCACGATACAACTAACAAGGTATCTACGTGTTGGGCGCAAGCTTGTATATCACGCTTACCCTGTCTCACATCCAGGAGCTCAGGCCGAGCCCAGCTTCGGCGCGAGGCGGTTCACACGTGTGTTGAGCCGCGCCTTGAAGACATCATACGTTGGAAAAACGTAGGGGTCATGCAGCTTGAGTCCTAAGGCCCAAGCTTTGGAACGTTCAGCCAAGTTCAACATCGCAAACTTGGCCTTCATCGCATCGATGACGATGCGGTGAGCTTCAATGGCATCGTCGAGTTCGACGAACCATCTCAACAAGGAGTCGCTTCGATTGCCTTGTACTTGAAGACATCAATCTTCAACGACTCGGATCGACGTATATGCTTCAAATCGGTAGCAGCAGCACGAGCCTGTTGTTGTCTCACAGTTCAGACTGTTAATCACCCTGCTGCATCAACAAGTCAGCTTGTTGAGCGCCTTGTTCTCTCAACCGGTCTACCTGTTGAGAACCTTGCTCCTGTAGCAAGGTGAGTTTCTTTACGACTTCGTCAAATTCAATATGTATGAACTTGCCGATGGTTGCATGTTGTTTGTCTTCGCTAAGAGAGAGCAACATGGCATTAACGACAGGGTTGCCGTAAATTTCAGCCATACGCTGAACCGCATTCCATTCGAGATCACTCAAATGGCGGAAATCATCACGCGTTGTGTGATGACGTTCTTCATCCGCTAAATACATAGCGGATGGTACGGTGGTCGTTAAACGGACCACAAAGTGCTACCAGGTGTAATGGGGCACCCTCTTGATTATACTTCGTATAATCAACCTTCACTGACAACAGCGAAGGCAGGTGCCTCAGAACCTCTCTTACACAAAGAGGCAGAGGAAGCTTTACTTCTAAACGACATGCTTAGAAGTAGGATAAAGAGAACTGTATTTAATATAGTGAAACTATCTAATAAAACTAAAATCATTAATTACCTTGTCTTAGCTATATTAAAGTACAAATATGTACGCTACCTTCGTGCCCTCCATTCATTGCGCGCGTCCATCGGTTATTGGTAAGCGTCCTGGTTGATATAGTGGCATATATCAACCAGTTAGAAGGAATCTCCCACTGTAAGTAGATGCAGGGACAATATTATATGAAAAGATGATATTTGTCATATATTAATAGCTGAATAAATATTATTGACACTTCATATAAGTGTCGATATTATGTAGCGGACTCACCCCATTACAACCATGACTCCCGCAACCGAGCACCGGTTGTCGGTGCTGCTGTCATTGTCGGCGTCCAGTACGCCATAAACTTCAATCTACCCGAGCCGACCATGCTCTCGCGTCGTTCGGAGAGAGTACGAAGCACACGGATCGCGGTCTTCCAGCTGTCGGCCCGGATTTTTCCAATAATGTGATGGCTGAGTCATTACGTAAGGCTCATCTGGGCGAGTACAAGTTTTGATTCACAGCATATATTTAATTGGTGCCGTACGGATTGGACCGCAATTCCCTCCGTTCGGTTGAGGACTGCACCATGACAAATTTACCCCCGACTGACAGGTATTGCTGACTGCCTTGGTGTTCTGCTCGTTGAAGTGCTCCACAACATCGTCGATACAACGGAGTTGACTTGATCATCAAAGTCTTTTCGTCCAGTCGTGGTCAAATTCAATCCCCAAAAGGAACTTAGCCCTCGCCGAGTTTCTTATGATCTTTCAAGCACCGACTTCACTTCCTGAATCTTACTCGTCTTGGCTGCAATAATCATATCATCGACGTATAGGCAAATAAATACCAAATTGTACGTGTTCCCCTTTACGTACACATTAGTCGGCTCGTACATCCAATCTTCACAAGAACGCGGTGGATACACTTGATTAATGCAGTAGCTACTTGCTTCAGTCCGTGAATTGCTTTGTTGAGTCGGCACATGTAGTGCTTGGCATCCTGATGCTGTATAGCATTTCCATGTAATATACAATCTGTTCATACGCTCGCTATTTCGAATTACTTTTCAATAAGTATACAGCACCAGCGGGTACTATGCATATAGAGGGTTTAAGCAGGAAGTGTTACAAGTCATGCTTCGCGCAGAGACAAAGCAAACAAAACGCGAACGACCCACTGCTTTCAAAGCAAAAGAGTAAGTGTATATAGATTAAGACTTGCCGATTAAATTGAACTGTTCCATCATGCTGTCCACGCTTCACCTTAATAGGTTGTCGTGTAACGGGTTAAAGGTTACACGGTTCGTTAAGTATCGAATACTTAACAGGCAGGTCTAAATGGGTACGAGGTACCTTAGGCCTACTATTTGGGTGTGGCACATCAATGTGATCCACCCTCGTGAATGTGATATCCATGGATGGATTCACATTCAACGAGGATGACGCCAGTTGGGACTGGGCGTCATGGTGACGCTTCAAACAGACATCACCAGCGAGCTTAAATATATTTTAAGCTCGCACGTAAGGATACGCTTCTAATAAGACGCGTATCTAATCTTTGCATAAGTAGCCAATCAGTAGTTAAACTTATATTTAGTTAAAATCTATTAGATATAAGACAGTCTTGAATTTACTTTCTATTGCCCACTGCGCACGAGAAGCTTGATAAGCTTCTGCGTGG